GGGGGGAGGGAGAGGAAAGGGGGAGGGAGAAGGGAGAGGGGGGGAGAATTACGATAGAATGCCATAGAGCGCGGTTATACCATAGAATCACATCTTGTTCTTCGTGTGCGTGGGCGTAGATATTGGATGGTTCTAGGACGGGGCGCATTATCCTAGAATGGGAGGGAGGGGTGGGTTAGTTTTTTGTTTTTTGGGGGTGTAAAAAAAGGGGGGGGGGGATGGGAAGGGGAAAGTACTTTTGTAAAAACGCTCGCACTTCTCCTAAATCACTAACGACAGTCTCCTCACCCTCGGGAGAATCCTTCAAGAATAATCGATATGCGGCTTGGCCGTGCACCTGCAGACTATGCTCGCCCGTCACGGGATTCTCCCACACCATCGGATAGACACATATCTTGTCCCGACTCCAGGGCTTGAGTTGATCGAGCGGCTTCTCGCGCCCTTCCGTCTCGAGGGAGTGTCCGAGGCGCGTGCTCCGCGCCGTCGACATCCATTCGAAGCAGTGCGGCGCGTACTCGATCCGGCTATGGTACACGATGGCGCGCAACTCGGGACTGAGGAGCGAGAGCGCCCGCGCTCCTGATACCATGGCTGTCGCGCCCGGCGCCATGCTCATCTCGGTGCCCGTCCCGTCGTCCCATTGCACGCGCACGTCTGGACCGCGGGGCGTGCGGACCGCGAGCAGACAGCCGACGCGCGGCGGCGGGATGCCGTACAGAGCGCCGTCGAAATGCCACTGGTAGAAGCGGGAGCGGCCGGCTTCGCGGTCCGCGGCGGGGATGTGCGGTGGGAGGTGGAAGGCGTGGTGGTCGACGCCTTGGATTTCGAAGCCCGGCGGGAAGTCGTAGTGGTTCTCGGGCAGCGCGCCGCGCCCGAGGATGTGCACTTGCGGTTGCGCGGGGATGGCCGGCCGGTTGGGGAGCCCGTAGATGGAGGTGCCGTTGTGCGTGGTGAGGAGGGGGTCGATGCCGTGCGCGAAGCCGCCGGTGGGCTCGTCGGGGTCGAAGCGTCGGGTGAGTTCGTATTGCTTCTGAGGCCGGAGCATCTCGGGCTGGCCTTTGAAGATGAGGAGTTTGTGTTTGTGGAGAGCGGCGTGGATGATCTCGAATTCGGAATCTGTGAGGTTGTTGAGATCGATGCCGTGGACCGTGGCGCCGAAGTCGACGTTGCTCTTTGGCCCATGCTGTAGAGGCTCGACTCTGATATCCTTGACTACCGCAGGCATCTTGGATGTGTAGCACTTCTGATACTTATCACAAAATTCCCAGTGGTTCTTCTGAATCGGCTGTCCAGATGAGGGGTTCAAGTAGGATATATCAGAATCGATGCATGAGGTGCCAGGAGCTCTACCTGACCAGATGACTGACGCTGCATACCGTACGGACTCGGGTGAAGCACGTCGGCCGCAGTCTGTCTCTTCCTGAACTAGTCGATTGGCATGAGATTCTGTTTCGTGGTTGTCTGGAGTGGGTTTGCAGTTGTGATAATGCGATAAGGACGCGGGGTCGAACACGGCCATACACGGCCGAAGGCGGATTCCGAATCAAAACCAGAAAATGACGATTGGCCCAGGATAATGGATCCCGCACCATGCCGGATATCTGAAATCCGAACTTGATATACCCGTTGCCTGCCAGGTAATTACTCGATCAGGATTCCACAACTCAATGGAATACGTCTATTGAAGATCACGTGCTTTAACATCGCCGCCATCACCCCTGACTGTGACCATGGCCGAAACAAAGACCTACTACCATACAACAGCGAAAGGTTCACGCATTTTCGTTGAAGAATGCGGGTCAGGACCGTTGATGGTTCTGATGCATGGCTTAGGGGGGACCACGAACTATTTCCAGCCCTTGATCAGCCACTTCTCTTCCCGTTATACTATGCTCCGGTTCGACTTCCCAGGCTCGGGATTCAGCACTTTTAAGTCCCCACCTTCCATACCACAATTTGTAGAGGACTTGACCTCCATCCTGAATTCAAGAGCAAAGAAAGAGAGCCCAATACTTGTTGGCCACTCGTTGGGTAGCATCGTAGCAATGCATTATGCCTCTCGGAACCCCGAGGTCGCCGCTCTCGTTCTAATTGGCCCCGGAAGGTCAGCTTCTCACATTTCTGCCGCTGTCGAAGCAATGACAGGTCTGGCAGCGAAAGCAAGACAAGGTATCGAAGGTATTCGGGATTCAACCATCGCCAACAACGTCGCTCCCACTTCGAATGATCTTGTCAGGACGGTCGTGAGACAGATGGTCAGCTCGCAAGACCCGGAGGGTTATGCGGCCACATGTGAGGTCTTATGTTCCGCGTCGCATGTCGATCCTGATTATTCTGCAATTGAATGCCCCACCGTTCTCATCGCTGGAGATCAGGACAAGATTTCCCCATTATCGCGGTCTCACGAGCTGAAGGGTCTGATAGAGGCAGGGGTTGGAAAGAAGACCGTGAGAGTAGAAGTGGTGCATTCAGGTCACCAACAGGTACTGGAGGATACTGCTGGTGTGGTGAAGGCCATGGAGTCCGTCCTGGCGTTATAGCAATGTAAATAACTGCCACCTGCATGAAATGTTCTCTGGCAACCCCTCTCTGCAAAACTTTCTTCATATGGTTGTGTAGACAAATTGTGAAGCAATGGAATTTTAAATCGAATGTGAAGGTGCCAGTCCCAACAGATCGTCAAACCAAGTGACGGTCCGAATATCGAAAGGTTCGCCAATATTTTGGCCATAAACATGAGCAAAACCTTCAGGCGGCCGGCGACCGGTTGAAGGCATTTGGTATCCAGGATCAAGCATGTCATAGGACGGTTGGACTGCGTTCGGATGAAAATCGGTGTAAAGACTACTTTCTCGGTTCGCTATATAACGGTCTTCGTTCATTTGCTGGTGTGCCGAATGGGGTTGGGATGAGTTCTCTTGCTGAAGCCAGAGAGGCATGTGTGATAAAGCTATCGGTGAATTGCCAGGTGGAGGACGGTCACTCTGGCAAAACTTCCTGACAAAAGCGGCAACGTTGAGACTTCTCTCGTTCGACTTTGAGATGTTGCTATTATCGTTTTGCCTGTGCTTCCCTTTCTGATGGCTGGTATCTGGTGGTTGAGAATGTACTTTCTGCTCCTCCGCTAGCAATTCCTCGAGGAGGCGAATCCCCCGAGATGCAATGGAGCTGACTGAAACACTTTCTGAGAGAGCTTCGATGGTTTGACGAACTAGCTGTCTGTGTTCTGCATATTCTCGACCCGACTGATGGCGGTTAAAATTATCCAAAGACAGTATGATCTGTTACATATTAGATTTATATCCTGTCCGAATGCTGATCATACTTACAGCGGAAGCAACGCTAAATGCTTGCGTGGTCCATAGTGTTGGCGCCTCAGCAGGAAGTCCCTCTAGCTCTCCCAATTCATTGATGATAGTTTTCGCGGCAGCCAGACACGTTCTCCGAGTAAACTCAAATCTTTTATCATGGAAACTAAATCCAAGAAATCGCCGATGAATCATCTACGAGCTGGTCAATTATAGTTTGGGACATGTAAAATAAGACATCTTACGATAATTTTATGGGCGGAGGTAATGGTAAGGCAACTGCCAGTAGGTAGTTAGCATCAGGACTAAGGACCCTGTGTAATGCTGCTTGAAAAGGCATCTTTCAAGGACAAGGTAAAAAGCTCTGGGAAATACAAACCGTCGAGCAACCGACACCCAAGGTGGCCAAGAAGGATCAAGAGGGGTTTGACTATTTAAGCAAGGTGGCAACTGAGTCAAAACCAGTTCTCGCATCAACTTATCACAGTGGAGGACCTGTTCATATTTCGCATTGAGCGTCGGGGCTTGCGAGGATCGATCTTGCAAAACGGGCATAAGAGCGGCGATTTTGAACAAGAAATTTCCGTAGGACGTGACTGACGGCTTAGAAAGAGGAATCGGTTCCATCGTGTCTTCGTCGCAATTCAGAGGCAATTTTGTTGTGAAATGCAGCGGATTAACACCTGCATTCCCCGATCAGTCAGTAACCCTCTATCAACTTGATATTGATAATGCATCGGGCGGATAGGCTCACAGTATGTTTCGGAAAACGGCACGGAGAACCAGTCTTGCACTGCCAGTTGATGCCAGATTCTTCGACCTAATTCCTTTTGTACCACATCCGAAGAATTTTCGCCGTCGGACTCATAGGATCCTCTTTTGGTTCTTGTTAACCTGTGAAGTCCAAGCGCCTGCGCTATGCGGACTGCAGAGGCTAATAAAACACTCTGTGAGTTGGAGAACCTAACTATAATCAGTATATATCAATGTGGGAGATTTGATGCTATTACCCGAGTATATGGGCGCAAATAGTCGAGCTTGCAATGGTCTGCACACTGTACACTAGTGTCATAAGTTAGACTGGAGAGTAGACGCTCATATAGCGGCAGCAGAGTCTTACAACTGTGATTTTGCTGATACCTTGCATTGTTGAGACACTCGATGGAGCATTGGTACCACTGCTTTGCCAGCATACCTTGGTCATCTATAACAAGTTGAGTTTAAGATTTCGATTATTTTTGATGATTCAACTGACCCTGGTGGAAACCCCATCTGACAACTTCCGCTGATTTTGCACAAGTCATACTTCCGCATATGATAGCGAAGAGAAGGGCTGTCCATTGTAGACCAACACTAGTCACACTGATGACCCCCTTGTCATTGGAATAAAACTGGTCAAGTTCTCGCCTGAAAGATTGAACGTGAAATGAGCAATGCATGAACAAAAGCCAATTAGCATGATATTCAAATAGCATTATAACTTGTGCTTGGCTAGGCAACATCTCCTGGATTTGCGATATCTGTAGGGGTTCCATAATGAGATGCCCTCCAGACACGGAAGACGGTGAAGTGCCCCATGCCTGTGTGGTTTGAATAATATCCTTATCGGGGTATGTGATTGAATCGTGAGTACCAGCTGAGTCTCTCACACCGCTTGTAAGGTTGCTGTCCTTCAATCGTCCCCAGGCCAGAAACTCAAGTACCGTGGCCGCATCTTCGGCCTCTGCATCGGATGAGTTCTGCCCTGAGCTGCCATCGTTTTCCGGGTGAATAGCATCATCACTTTGAATGCCTGAAAATCCCTCAGTGAATCTGGCTTGTTTCACCGGTCTCACTGATGAAGTTGAATGGAAGCCTTCCTGATTATCCACAGCTTCGTTTGTCGCCGGACGCTTTCGCGGTTCCAAGCGATCCAGTCCTGCTTCCAGACGTTGAACCCTTTCTGAGAGAGTGGTCACCAGCTCTAGTATTCTCTCATTTATGGGAGACTCAACCTCTGGAGCAGCCCTTCTAGACACCAAAGGGTTCGGAAAACCAGGCGAGCCAGAGATGCCAGGTGGTGACGATAGACCGGGCGTGTTTCTCGCGATGGACTGCGACACATCGGCCCTTCGACAGAGGTGCGCGGCGCCCCTATTCTTGGTCAGGGCAATTCATCGAATACAGCACCAAGTCAAGACTTGAAAGAATAGGGGGGCTGGAGAGGATCACGTGCCTCTTGGTACAGTTATTGCACGGGATGACCTTATCGCACTTTATCTTCCTCCTCGCACAGTCTGCGCAGGTCTGCGGTCGCCTCGACATCGTGACTTCGAGCAGTGCTCGACGGCCGATCTAAGTTCGATATGAGGAAATTCCTATATTCACGGCCGAGGATGATAATCTGAGCGTCGGGGCTGGTAGAGGTTGACCGCGGATTTGACGGTTTGTACGGACGACATCGGTTAAATCTCGGGCGCTCGGGTCCGACAATCGTACCTTACAGTATCAGCTTCCTTATCTGTACCTTATCCAACATTCCGTACTGCACAGTACATATGAACGTACATCGGTGTTTACTTAGATACTGTACCGATTACACTGGCGTTCAACACTCCTGATTTGATCCGCCAGGGAGCTCTAGTTGACCATCGAAAGATTGCGTCCACTGTTGTAGTTCTGCAAGAAAACCTGGTCCCAAGCGTGGGAGCTGCATTATCATAAGCATCTTTGGTGTTGTATGTAGATGCTGGTGCCTCAAAACCTCCCTCTGGTCAAGTTATTCTGGCGTCTGCTCGATATTCTGGCCCGTGGCTCCACGATAATCTCTTTGTGCTGCCTTCTGTACGCTGGCTCAAATTTGTGACAACAACTTTGCCAATTCAACTTGCGAATAAAATAATACCAAACAATGTGTCCTATCCTGAAAGAGCCATTGGATCTCTCTGCCACAGTTTGACTTTAGGAGCTTCTCGCGGCTTGTATATTATATAGCGTATATCCGATAATACTGAAGTCCCTTTGTTTATTTGAACCCTAATAGCACAGATGACACTGATAGCCTGCAGAAAAGGGTCTGAGGTTGGGCGAGCCAGTCAATGTCGGGTCAGATACGATCAGGAAGGCATGAAGAGTAATTCCGAGTAGATGTTTGAAACAACTGGTTGTAGGGAATGCCTATAACAGTGCGCTGACAACTTGAATAAGAAAGCATTTCTTGTCAATTTTGCCACTACCCATCTTCCGAAATATAGATCATAGCACTGGAATGGGCACGGGTCCGACAGGCTTATCTGACGCTCCTAGGTTGGCCTGATGCATAGCTAGATTTCCTTAGCAAAGTATAGTATAAGTCCAGAAAAACAACTTACTTCTTGGACCATAATGGTCTGGATAATCAACCGCAGAATGGAAAACGCTCTGTAGTTCATTGATCAGCACAGGTCTCTGATCTTATCTTATTCCAGACGACTTACCCAGTTGTCCCACATTTGAACGTCGCCCTCCTCAACAGGGCCCATCAGAACGTATTCTGGACGAATGACTCTCTCCTGCCAGCTATGAAGCAGCTCTCGAATCTTGACGAGATCGTCGATTTCTTTCACCTCACTTGTCGGCGTAGCTCTCAAGAAAAGTTTCCTGACACATATCGCATGAACCTGGAGAGCTTTCTGACCCGAAGGCGTCATCCAAACCATGGGATACTTGATTCACAATCAGCATTCAGTCCAATCACATTCAAATGGAAGCCTTGTCTACTGACGGTCTTGACTTTCTCCGGATCCCACTCTGGCATCTCTTCCATCGTATGCTCCTTTCCCTCCGTCTCCAGTCCCAACCCATTCGGCCTGCCCTTACAATTCTCGATCCACATATACGGATAGGGCGCATACTCAACCCAACTATGGTCAGCCATCATCTTTTCCTCATCCGTCAATAACTCGTAGAGTTGGATATTGCTAACGAATGCGGTTTGGCCCGGCTGGCATTTCATGCTCAGTCCGCTGCCATCGTCCCAATTTATCTGAATCTCGGGCCCGACTGGGCACTTTATTGCACGGAGAGCTGTGAAGTGTGGCGGCTCACGATCGTACAAAGGAGCATCCATGTGCCATCTTTGGAACTGGGTGTTACCTGCTGCAAATGCCTCAGCGCTTGGTGGGTACTTGTGATAATCATTGCTGGCTCCGAAGGCAGTGAAGCCTTTGATACCATAGTGATCATCGCCCTGATAGCCCTTGCCGATGAGTCGCACATTGGGCGCTGCTGGTATGCCATGCACCATTCGTTTCTAATCCGGATTAGGATCCCGCTCATGGTGAAGAAGACAATGAATAAACAAACAACAAGGGAAAAAAATAATAAAGGCGGGCAAGGGGGAGTACGTACAGCAAGCATCCCCCCAGACTTTTGGAATTCCTTAACCGTACCGTGGCCATGGACTTGCGGTGCCGTTGGGTCAAGTCTGGTAATCAACTCCCAGTGCTTTACAGGATCAAGATTGTGTTGACCCTTGATCACAACGAGTTGGTATTTGTAGATTGCATCTTTAAGAGTCATTAGATCCTCATCGGAAATCACATTCAAGTCAAGTCCAGTAATAGTGGCGCCAAAGTTACACTTTTTATCTGCGCTGTGCTTGAGCGGCGTGATGACCATCGAGCTCTGCATTATCCTTGAGGGAGACATGGCGACGGGCTATAGATATGCTTCAAGGAAGACCATAGAACTAGAGATACTGCGGTGAGAACTTGCTCGATTGGAATAATACATATGTGTGTCTATTTATGCTGCTGGCCTTCATCGGTATCGCGATACAATTTCATTGTATGTATCGCTCGGCCTCGGATCCGTTGACGGGAGAAATGATAGGGGCCTACGGACTCACGGGTTGCGTTGCACATTAGAGATAAGCAGGCCTATCATTCCCCGCACGAGATGGACCGGATGCCCCCGCTTCAAAGAACGAAGCAGATCGAGTACCAATTCCTAATACTAACAAATCGACACAAAAACTCAGTGCAAAGACACAATGGAAGGACTGATCAAGCCAGACAACTTTTCGAGCTCGTGGAAGGAGAGAGGACAATACAAACACATCTCCCCAGCAAGACATCCGCGAAAGCAAGAAGAGTTATTCTATTTATTTTTACAAGAACAGTGATGGGTTAAATTCCATCAATTGATGGAGTGGAAACGCCTAGCAGATGATCGACTATTTTCATCCGAATGCTCTGAATCACTTCCCACCATCTGCGCTGGTATCAACCGTAGAAGGCATGTAGGCCAATTCCTTCTACGGCTTTTCTTCATGGGTAGTCTCCAGGACTGCCTTCTCAAAATTCTTTTCGTGTATGGAATGAAGATCATCATGACGCCGTGATTCATCTGTACCCGCGGCCTCTATCGTTACCGTGGCCTCTGTCTCGGCTGCTGCCACGTCCACGGCCACGTCCACGGCCACGACTGCCTACTATGGTGTCGCTGTACAGGCCCATTCGACTTTTACCCATGTCGTACTGGTTGTCATCGCGATCGTCTGTATCCATACGGTCATCAAAGCCATATGAACCATCCATAACCTCTTCTCTTGAGTCATAATCTCGTCGGCGTTCTCGACCGCGGCCTTGTGGAACATACCGGTCAGAGCCACCATATCCTGATCTAGTATTGTCGGACCGATCGGTGATAGTATCAGCTCGTGGCCCTAGGGGGGTGGCTGGACGTGCAGACTGGGAGACGGGGAGTTTGGGAGCTGGACCACCGATTTTGTGATATACGTGCAAAATGTTGCCATCCGCCTAGAGCTGTCAGCGCCGGAGGCCTAAAAGCTCACGCAAGGAACTTACATTCTGATTGTTGAATGTGTCAACCACATTATCTGCTCCCTCCTTGGATTCGAAAACAATTTCGGCAATGACACTGGGTCTCTCGGTAATTATACGACAACTAAGAGCCACTCCACCAATTGGGGTCATTGCGCTCTCAATATCTGCGGTCGTAGTCCCAGGAGCAAAGTTCTTGGCCATGACAACATATGGTCCAGCAAGTCCTCTAATAGAGATACCAGACGATGGCTTTTTGGCGTTAACAATGTTGACTTGGTCCGCCACGGCGGAGGATGAGTCTGAGCCGTTCAGAGCTGAGTAGAGACGTTTGTTTCGGTTTGTGCGCCATGTCTTCGGAGCGTGGTGGGGCAGCTGTGAGACGCGTGATGCTGAAGGGTTATTTAGGGAGTGAAGATCGTGCGTCCATTCGGCGTCGACATTGCCAGCTCCAGGTTTATCGGCGGGTCTCACGGGCTTTTGCGATGGCCTAGCTGAAGTCGAAACTGTTCGCTGCATCGCGTTAGGGGCGAGTCCTCCATGGGAGGCAATAGCTATCTCACCTTTGCAATACCGACCCTGCTGGCAAGTGATGGCCCGGTACCCGGCTTGCGATTGTTCAGACCTGCCCCTGGCGCGCTCGATCTGCGATTCTTGCTGAAGATTTCCTGCGCAAGAGCCTCGTTTTTACGACGCTGGCGCTCTACGAGAACATTAGAGGCTGTTATCTTCGTGCGCAAATCGGTGTCCATACCTGCATTGATGATTCTGTTGAAGTCAACGGCAACCTGGCCAGGTGCCATGGCGAGTGACCTGTAGTGTTAGTGGATGAAATAAATTGTTAGTATGAAGTAGGACTACTGTTAATGATTTCGACTGGATCTATCGAAAGCAGGCGGCAAAGCGTGAACAGGACAGTATCTGGAGGAGGCGAGGCTAGGTTATCAAGGTTGAGGCTATTGTCGAGGGCAATGACAGCAACAAGGACAATATGTGCGGGTTGTATTGTTTCGTTTGGCGACGTCCTGTGCTGTGCTATGATTCTGCCGTGGTTGTGTAGGGGAAGATACTTTTGATGGCGGCGATGCGACGCGATGTGGCCGGAACGAAATCGCGAAGCAGGCGAGGCGGAGTGGTCTGTGCACACAGTCGCCCCTGCCCCTTTCCATAGGCGAGGCTGTGAGACTTTGACTTGAGCAAGGTAAGGTAGGTAAGGTAGGTAGGGTAGGTAAGGTACTGCAGGTAGGTAGGTAGGCACGGTAGCTCTAGTCTCTGGATCCTGATGCTATTGATGTTTACACCTCCATAAATCTTCCCATTATAACAGCTCAACTCGGCTCAGTCAGAATCCAGGCCCTTTCAATTCTGTGATGGCGCGGTTCTGGCTATAGTGAGTGTGCCCTCCTCCTAGCAGAGCCGGCTTCCTAACCCAAGCAATAACAGATTCCAACGGTTGAAGCTCACCCTATTGCCAGGCCCAATAAAAGCTCTATACAGCAGTCTTGGCTGTCAATACCAATATATATAAAGAGACATAACCTGGACATGGAGCCAGTATCGTTCAACGAGACGGGTGCTGTATGGGGTGATTCTCCTTGTACACCTCCTCCAAGGCATGGCCAAAACCTTCAAACTCCAACAACGGCCTCGAAAAACGGCTCTCCATCACACGGTCTTTTCAAGAGGCTAAGCTTCAGCGCATTGAAATCGCCGTTGAAATCCTTGGGATTGCGCAGCGAGCCTCGCGCATCAGATGGACCTGCCAGCCCCAAAGTAGTGAGGCGAAGTAAATCTGTCTTCAATCTGCTTCCTTCAATCCGATCTAGAGGGCTCTATCATGGGGATCCTACGAAGGATCCGGTCACTCCTGAGAGGCCGAAGACAACTTCACCCAGCAAGGGCAACACCAGAGCTAGTAAGGACAAGCCCTTGAATTACTTGGAGTTTTCTGACACTAACGCTTTAGATCAAGACAGCCCTACTCGACCAAAAAGGAGAAAAAGTTTTGGCGACCTCCTAGGTACCATTTCCAATAGGGTGACGTCAAGGTATAATACGATCTCTCAACGTTACCAACAGCGAGCTGAGATCATCCACGATACACACAACTTCTGGAATGCGGATAATGGTGCGTTTTCTATGAAATGGAGGAGCATTAGACCAGATGAATCAGTTGTTGAAATACCTACCTCAGGACCTCAAATTCCTATACAACAAGCACGGCATATCCAGGCAAGGGAATCAGACATTGAATCTCTTGCAACGCGTTTAGAGCGAATAGTAGACGGTTAGTGGACTATAGCTGGCATTGGCTCAATAGCTAATCCATTATCCATGTAAGACTTCAAGCACAATCAGACAGATGGCCTTCTGGGAACCGAAGGAGGATATACACCTTCGTCCATTAGTTGTGAGTCTTCTCTTTAACTGAAATTGCCAAGGTAGTAACGAGGTATATAGGGAGGAGTGGAAGTCAGACACTCTATGACCCTGAAAGGCTGTCTTCAAGACAGGTGACACCTACAGATAAGGAGCAAAAGAGAATTCTAACAGAGGGTTCCTATTCGGGGCCATCGGTAACAGCTTCCATGGCTTCGACTTCAACACCAATTCCTGACAAATTCCAGGTGGATGTATCACCTTCGCCCTCGCCGGGTAAGTTCAAGCCTTCTCAGCCTATAGACTTATTGGGAGGTGTCAGTACAAACGTGGTAAGACAAGAAAGCAGGTAAATTACACTTCCTGTCAACACTGTGGACCATGATGGAAACTGACCGGAGACCATAGTGTGCAACATGAGCGGCTAGTGATTGAAGGCATGGAATTATCAAAGTGTGCTAAATCCCAATGTCCTTCTGAGAACGCATGTTATGATACTCGTGTTCAGAATATGGATTCGGGGCACCAGCTTGATGCCAGTGGGGAACCGAGCCAACCTCAATATGCCGCTCCACGAAGCTTCCCACAGCGACAGAAGTTGCCTTCACCAATCCAGAATGACTCGCCTATGCTCAATATATATATTGAGGGCTCTAGCGTTAAGAACATTGATTTAGCCTTCCATGGTCGACTAGAAGCAAGAAAGGCACGATACCAGACACTTGCCTTGGAACCTAGCACGTCCGACATAACGAATATGGAAAGCATTGAGGAAAGCGTTGAATTGACTGTCGCCGAAATGAGGGAAACTCGACATATGAACTCGTCCTTGAGCCGAAACTCTGTGAGTTCTTTTGACAATAATCCAAATGAGAAGGGAATGATTTGTCAAAACTTTGTGATGGATGAGATGGAAGCATGGGATGCGGTTATCCGCGGAATGGAAACTTTAGGAAAGGTATGTCGAAATATTCTAGCAATACTACTCCCTTGTCCAACCATTTACTGATTAGGAGAAGGCCAAAGCATACAAAGTCTTGAGGAATATTCCTTCCCACGACAGCCTTCGCACCAGTCGTATATCCACGGACCAAATCCTCGAAGACTCAACTGGTATGACACCGTCAGAGACAGTCGTAACAGAAGCGCCTCCTTCTGCGGTACTTACGGGCAGCAATGAAAGTAAGGATACACAGCCTGACCGCAGTTATGAGGACCATGTACTTCTCAACTCACAGCAGAGATCGGAAGACGTGGACGTAGCTTTGCCAAAATCAAAGGGAGAGAGTAGGAGGATTCGCCCAAGCTCCCAAAAGTCTCGCAAATTCTCCACAGCTCCAGTGCAGGTCAACTTTCCGGATACCAAGACAAGAGCCAGGCACACAGAAACCTACGGGTCTAGCAGCAAAGCGATCTCAGATATATTTGAAAAGAGCCAAGGCCTACTATCCAACATTTGTACATACGATCGCGAAAATCGTGTGATACAAACGTACCCGCGAGAATACCTCCCGAATTTTGACGAAATGCGACAGCATGGTTTAGAAGCCATCTGGCTTCCAATGCAAAATGAGCCAGGGAGCCGAACCGTCCTAGATACAATGACGTTGACTGAGTTCCTTGCCCAAAGAGATAGATCTTTCAGTCAATCGACTGGTTTGTCTAGCACGGATTCGAACTACTTCGACTTGGGCATTCCCTTGGTCGATATCGACCTGAGGAGACGACTCGGGACAACAGTTCAACAACCCCATGAGTCCATGCAGATTCCTTACCAAGAGGTCATTGCCACTCCGGCAGAGTTGGCAATGATATCCTGGGTTCATGCGATACCGGGGGAAGAAGATAGACCATCTGGGAACTCCTCCAATGCACATACATTTCCTTTGACTACGGGTAGCTCTCTAAACTTGGGGGTCGATTTCGACTTGGAGATACAGCCAAAGAGACCCGTTCCGAGTTGTTCGAATCTTCGTTGCCGTATCGGTAACCCCTCGCATGCCAGTTATGATGCCAAAACAGATCCCGTTCTCTCATTGCCATCGCTTGACGCAAGATCTAATCTGGCTAGTTATGGGTCTGTTTATGACAATAGTGGATCGGACCCAAGAGGCCAGCTTGGTCTCAAGTCTATTGTTGACCCTGAGGTTGCAGCATCCTCTGAGAAGTACAACAAAGGCCTCACTGACCCGGAGAGAAAGCCTGGCGATACCCATCTACAAGAAGAACCTTCAGAGTTTGACGCACCCTCTGCCAGACCAGGAGGACCAGAAATAGGTATGGAAGGCGCTCGCAAAATGTGGAATGCGTATGTTCAGAGGAGACTGGGGACCCCAACGGACGAAATGGATTCACCTCTGCTCTTCAAGTGGCCATTTTATATGAAGACTGCAGAGACGAGCCTTGGTCACCATGGTGAGGGCACCCAATGGAGCCACCCCAGCGGAAGTCCTTTGGTTGAACACATTGAAGATGTGAAAAATGAGGGAGCAGATTGCTGGAACATAAACACACGACAGTTCGACTCGCTCGAAACGGATATATATAATATGTGCGACGCGATTGGCAAGGCAGAGTATAACCCTGATGGATACGAGGTTTCTGAAGATCCCAGGCTCACCACTTTCAACCCAATCATTGTCACGGAGACTGAGATAGATGTCAAGGATATACCTGGTGATACATCATCTATGTCATATTGCGAGGCAGAGATAGAGTCTTCCCGTTTATACGAGACACCAACCTCTGATTCTGCGACTAAGAACAAATATGAAGCCGATGGTTGCAAATTGGAGCCTGAATCAAAAGATACTTCCGAATGGGGCGGTCTTCTTCGACGAATTTCTTCTCAATCAAGTGGAACTGCTCAATCAATTAGTGCTTTTGAAGAGGGTTTAGATATGTCCGTCTCCTCTGGCTTCCGATTCACAGCTTATGCGGATCTACTTCCAGAAAGTGATGGAAGAGGTGTAAATGACTATCGTTCGGATTCCATATGCGAGAACGCTAGTCGATTTGAAGGCGTTGATGAGAGCAGTGAGGATGATGAAAATAGGGGCCCTCCCAGCCGTCCTGCTAAATCACCTCACTCGCTCGACAAGCTGGCTGGATTTTCGAATGGCAACGAAGCGCCACAAGGTATTAAATTCCGGAGCCAGGAATTACAGGATCTCAACAAATTTGCAACAGACGAGAATGAACTTCTTAACCATAACAAAGGTGAACAGGCTTCAAACAGATTGGCAAGATTCTTTGGAATGCCAGGATACATTAAGGAAGCCCGTACGACCTACAACATCGAAGACTCTGCTAGAGCTCTCATGCCAACAACATTGGATGACTTGAACATCCGCAGTGGGGTAGCCAAGAATTCAGTGCCAAAACAAGAGGGTAAGAAGGTTGGCGGACTGGTCGAAATCTTCCAGGCTCGCGGCATGATGACTCCTAGCCTTAGATCAGGACTCCACAGAATATCAGCACCGTCCAACTTTGTCCATCAATCCAGTGGTCGCCCCGCGATCCCTTCTGCCCGCATTGTTACCCCATCTGGCGCAGTATACAGCCCTTCAGGAACGGTGTGTGTAGCCACACCTGGACCTTCACCCTATCCATCACCAATCAAGCGTGTCCCTACGCCGCATCCTAGCTATATAAGACCCAATTCCGGGCTTAGTGATGCAAATACTGAGGTAAGTTCTATGTTCGGAGAACAACTAGAAAGGTTCGAAAAGCCCCTATTTGATAGCCGTGAAATCGAAGGCTTTGATGATAGTGAGCAGGAAGCCGTGGACATCGCGCTTTATGGATGATGGGAGTCGAAGGTTCCGGAAATTGGTATTCTTAGGAGAGGAAGCGAGCATTTGAAAGATGGGCGAAGTATGCATCAAATTCTTATCATGAATAATGCCTGATGGGTTGAGAGATGGCAAGCTCTTGTGGTTTGGTGTCATCAAATAACTATCCATTGTTTGAGGAGAAAAGCCAAAAATCCGTAGAGTTGGAGACTTTGTAATGTTATTCGTCTCTATTGACATTCATGTCTAGCAACTCCAAGAAATCGTGGTGACTAAGTTTGTAGTACAGAGATATAGTGTACAGAGGGGCACATTTCGAAGCCGGTATAATACAAGTATAGATCCTCCATCATAAGAGACATGTAAAGACTCGGTCTCCCCATGCCCTTCGAGGAACGCCCCGTCTTGCGTGGGCAGCTTTTCGCTCCTAAATGGCGGCAGTTGCCTGCTCGTTGAACCATATGTCGTAGTTCCTAGCCTTAATAACCCCAATATCCTTCAAAATGAAGGGTTTCCAAACAGCGTCTGTGTCTGGTCGAGCGATTCATACCTATTCGGAGGGGGGCTTCTTTGTCCTCGCCCGCGCTGTAGATGCTACGAATTCCTGCCCCTTAAGAACGCACACGGGTAACTATGGATGTTTTGTCCTGTTCAGAACTGCGGACTGACTTATCGTCTACAGGACGAGCATTGTTCTTGAATCGTGTTATAAAAGCAGCAAGCTTACTGCGCTGTGCTGCGAGTTCTGCCCACATGGATTTGGGAACAAGGCCATCCCTTATCAGGATATCATGTGCGCCAACGAGTCTTCGAGTCAATACAAGGACCTCATTCTTAAATTCAGCCTCTGCTTTCTTAGACTTGGCTTTCGAGGACATGCTTTTCCAGAAACTCTCTTTCTGAGCTTCGTCTTCCGACACGGTCGGCGAGTGGGTAGGAAGACCATATGAGAGTAACGATCTAAGATTGAGGAAATTCGGGCCGAGTCGGGAAAGAGCGCGGAGAATTTGTCTCCCCCGAGCGGTCTTCGATTGCACACTCTCGCCATTCGAGGATACCTTTGGGCTGTAGGCAGGCGCGGTGACTGCTAAATCTAAGTACCTCGTCAAAGAAAATATGTCTGGCACCTTGAGATTAGTTTCCATTATGTCGAGGATTTTTCCGGAGGTCGGAAAAGCATTTCGATTGTTCTTATCTCGCTCGCAGGCAGACATCGCTATCCGGAATGTCTTGGACTGCATGTAACTTGTGGGCATTTCCAAAAGGAGCTCGAGTGTTTCTGCGCTCGCCCTTGCGTACCTAAGGATACGAAGATAGGCATGATAGTTGTCGGAGTCAGGCTTTAGGCCATATTCCTTAGTGAGAAGTTTCCAGTATCTGCTTGCAGGTTCTTTTAATCTCAAATTGAGCAGACATTGCATGAGGAGGGAAAGGGTGTTGGGTCCAGGCCTAGCGTAGGAGGCATTGGTAGCTGGCGAAGGAGACTTTGTCAGCGTGACCGGTTCAAATCGCTCCGCAGAGGCAATGTCTTCGTCAGCGGCCGTTTCCGGTTCAGCCTCATTCGATGCAGACATCTGGCTCTGGTCAGGACGAGCCGTGCGCTTTCCTTGACTTCCTGGCTCAATCAGGGCACGTTCTGGAGTGCCCTTCCGAGGAACCTGGCGAGGGATATTCATGGCCTGTTCGACCAGAGACAGGATGTCATCATTATCTTGGGTCTCACCCACAAGCAAAATGCGACCCATCGCGCAAACGAGCTCCTCGTCAATCCACATGTCTCCCTGGCGCCAACGCTGAACTACATCTGCCCAAAGAACTCGCGCCTGCAGTATTGCCTTCCGCCGGTTCTCTCTTTTCTGTTTATCATCCAGAGTACTTCGTAGATCATTGACTGCGCTTATCCGGAGTGCATTGATGATCGTCGTGTACGTCAGGTTATTTGGCGCTCGAAGACCTTTGGCAGGCATCTTATCTGCTATTGCAAATAGAGCGTCCATGTTCTGGGCTCGCGCACACATCTTGAGAACGGCATTCATGTGTATTGTATTTGGCTTGATGAGAGATTTTTCGGTGAGCATGGATTGATATATTGATATTACTTTCGCGAGGGCATGTTCTGTATCTGGATGGTTGGCGCAGCCACTGAAGATTATGGTGTATGTACGAGCATCGGGAACCTGCGATCGTTTCTTCATCTAAAAGGCTTGATATTAGCATGCGACTCAATTGCAACCATCAGTCATGGATTACCTCATTATATGTCTTGATGGCGGCATTCATCTTCCCCTTACTCAACTGCCATTCAATCAAATGGTTCCAGCTGACGGTACATTGTATATCTTTACTGGCGGCTCGCACGAGTGCCAAAGTAGTTTCGAAATCATCATCCCGAAGGAATTTTCGAACTTGTTCCGCGAGCTTCAGAGGATCTTTCAAATACTTGAGATGCTTCCGTACTACGAAAGCTTGGTCCGCATCCTTCGTAGCGGCTGGCTTATGAGCAGGTCGAACACCTCTGGATTCCAGCCATCGCTGCCGATCCTTCCACCTCGGCGACGGAGGACCCGCGTCTCTATCCGCCGAGGAATGTGATGCGCTTCCTGCACTGGGGACTGGTGGTGAAAAGGCGACAGTAGAACTTCGTCTAGATGCTTGACTGCTAGGAACGGTGGCGGCGAGGGTTCGTGATAGTGAAGGCGGGAATGAGATGGAAGAGTCTCCGATAAGATTCTGTAGATATCGTCTCATACAACCCCGACAAGTCAACATTGCAGCTCTCTTGACGATGAATGAATTCCGTCAATGCTGCTGTTGTTTCGCATCGAGAACTTTTTTGAGACTGGGGTTCGGGAAGACCCGTGGAATCTTGAATGCCTCGGGACTAAGGCACCAACACTTACTGCACTGTAGACCACGACGACAGGGGTTCGCGCTCTCGCGTTAAACTCGCGTCTCGAGCCCGTTTACCGAAGGTACCTCTTTAACCTCGCGTACCCCTTACCAACCACCAAACTTCCAAACTTCCAAACTTCCTCACCTCGTCTGTCGAGGTTTATTTGCACGATTACCAAGTAATTTCATTTGAAGCATGTTGTAGTGGACAACATTCTATATCCTTCAAAATGCCGAAAGCCTCGAATGCTAGATCCAAATTGGCGGAGCTTCGCGCTCTGAGAGAATCCGGCAAGAAGCGCCTTGAAAGCTACCAAGTCCAACAAGAAGAAGATCTGTACGAAGAAGTTGACGAAGATGGCTATAAGAAGGTTGTACGTGAACGTTTGAACCAGGACGACTTCGTCATAGACGACAATGGCGAAGGATACGCCGACGACGGCCGCGAGGAGTGGGATCGTCGACCCGGATATGACACAGAGAGTGAAGAGGATCTGCCCGTCAAGGGGAAGTCGGGAAAAGCTGGTAAATCAAATACAACCTAAACGTAACTCTCTGAGTTGGACTAACAGCGTTTTAGCAAAACGGAAACGCGAGGAAGAGAAAGCGAAGAAAGAGTCTATGGACAAGGGAATTAGCAACTATTTCACCAAAGGTCCGATAGTTGCCCAGCCTAAAGCGAAGGTAGGGCTTACTGATAATCTGAAATACTTGGTTACTAAAGAAGACAACAGCCTGTGAAGACGAAAGCTGATGACGACTTCCTGGCCGATCTACTTGGTGAGGTTGAGACCAATGTTCCACGCCACATCTCCCAGCCCACCAGACCAAACAGGCTGCAGGATAAACGACGACCTCGTGCGCTGTCTCCCTCGGTCGATGACTACAAACATCACATCTCGAAGAAAACGAAGTTGATGGAGAATAGGACTCCAGCTACACCCCCAAAAGACCAAGACTTTGGTGATGATGATTTTATGGATGGCATGGACGACGGTGATATACTCATGGACGATCCTCAACCTTCATCTCCCGTGGCGAAAGCTGTCGAAAGAAAATCGCAGGTTACAATCAAGGCAGAGGAAGAAGACGAAGATATGATGGAAGTCGCTCAGGCGGACGGAATAATAACGGAGAGTGTCAACATGTCAGGTACTAGACCTGTACCAAAGATTAAGAAGGCCCAGACGTATCCTTCGCCCGCTAGCTCTTCCCCAACAAGGCCACCTCCGCAAGAGGTTGATTCGTCCGCCTGGAACGATGTTACCGACAAACTGAATGTCATGAATAGCAGCCAATTGGCCGAGACGATGACCTTCGGAAAACTCGATTTCAATGATGCTATCGAAGAAGATGGTAGTCTGAGAATGTTCTGGACAGACTATACTGAAGTCAACGGCAGTTTGTGCCTCTTTGGAAAAGTTCAGGACAAAAAGAGCGGCTCTTTCGTTAGTTGTTTCGTTAAGGTCGACAATATTTTAAGAAAATTGTTCTTCCTTCCAAGGCGGTATCGACAACGACATGGGCGAGATACAACTGAGGAGGTTGATATGAAAGACGTATATGAAGAGGTGGATGAACTGATGGGAAAGATGAGAGTTGGAATGCACAAGATCAAGCCTTGCACAAGGAAGTATGCCTTCGAACTTCCAGACATACCCAAAGAAGGGGAATATCTCAAACTCCTTTACCCCTATTCCAGTGAGTTCTACCTATCCTGATATTGGGTCTTGCTGACTTTATAGAACCACAACTCCAATCTGACCATCTCACTGGATCAACGTTCTCCCACGTCTTTGGCTCGAATACACCGCTTTTCGAACAGTTCGTGTTATGGAAGAATATAATGGGCCCCTGCTGGCTGCGGATCGAGGATGCCGAATTTGGGGTGATCAAGAACGCATCCCATTGCAAACTAGAAGTTCAAGTCTCGAAACCCAATCTCATCACACCTCTGAGTGAAGCGGATAACTTGGAACCGCCGCCGTTGACCATTATGAGCATTGCTTTGCGAACTGTTCTCAATGTCAAGGACAACAAGCAGGAAATACTCGCAATCAGCGCACGCATCTATCAGAATCTATCACTATCTGATACAACGCCTCCGGAAAAACTACCCTGCCAAACCTTTACTGTCATGCGACCGACAGGATCTAATTTTCCAATTGGGTTTGAAGGACTAGTTAAAACGCGCGCTAAAGGGCTGGTAAAGCTGGTGAAACAGGAGCAGGAAGTATTGAGCTTTTTCCTGGCAAAGCTCAATTCTGTCGATCCAGATGCTCTTATCGGTCACCAACTTGAAGGTGTAGATTTCAGCATCTTGTTAAGTCGACTTCAAGCCAAGAAGACACCGCAGTGGTCACGGATAGGTCGAATGAGACGTACTGATTGGCCGAGTTCGATGGGTAAGATGGGCGGGAACTTCTTTGCTGAGCGCTCACTGATCTCGGGACGCCTTTTATGCGATTTGGCTAACGACGCCGGTAAATCGATGATGACAAAATGTTCTTCCTGGAGTCTCACGGAGATGTGCAGTCTATACCTTTCAGGCACGACTCGACGGGAGATCGACAATGAAGTAGCACTAAAGACTTGGGCGACGACAAAAGATGGACTAATGGACTATGTTACTCATTGCGAAGCCGACACATTCTTCATCGCAGCTTTGGCTCTGAAGGTTCAGATGCTTCCGTTGACAAAGGTCCTCACCAACCTTGCTGGAAATTCTTGGGCGAGAACTTTAACTGGTACTCGAGCGGAGCGTAACGAGTATATTCTGCTTCATGAATTCCATCGCAACAAGTATATATGTCCAGACAAAGCCGTCTTCAGGGGAAAGCAGCAAGTCGAGGAAGAGAATCTCGAGGAAGAGACCGGGGATGTGAAGAAAAAAGACAAGTACAAGGGCGGTCTAGTGTTCGAACCAGAGAAAGGATTGTGGGACAAGTTTGTCCTCGTCATGGACTTCAATTCCTTGTACCCCAGCATCATACAGGAGTTCAACATCTGCTTCACAACTGTAGATCGCACCAAACTGGTAAGTAATCCTTCATGACGCTATCAGAATTTCAGACTGACTTTTATGATAGTCGGATGATGAAGACAGGGTACCAGAAGTACCTGCTGACCAGGACCTTGGAATATTGCCAAGGCTTATTTCAACTCTTGTCAGCCGCCGCCGGCAAGTTAAGAGTCTAATGAAGGATAAATCAGCAACCGCGGAGCAACTGGCAACTTGGGATATCAAGCAACTTGCCCTCAAACTCACTGCCAACTCTATGTATGGTTGTTTGGGCTACACAAAATCTAGGTTCTATGCAAGGCCATTGGCGGTTCTCACAACCTATAAAGGACGTGAGATTCTTCGAAGTACAAAAGCTTTGGCCGAGAGTAACTCGCTTCAAGTCATCTACGGTGACACAGACTCCGTCATGATCAACGCAAATGTGGACAACATCGAGGATGCGTTGAAGGTCGGGAATGAGTTCAAACGAGCCGTTAATGAACGATACAAGCTTTTGGAAATCGACATCGACAATGTTTTCAGGCGTATTCTTCTTCAGGCTAAGAAGAAATACGCAGCCATCAATCTTGTGCAGATTGACGGCAAATATGTCGACAAGATGGAAGTGAAGGGACTCGATTTGAAACGCCGAGAGTACTGTAATCTTTCGAAAGAGGTTTCTTCCCAACTCTTGAACGAGATTCTTTCCGGTGATGAGTCGGAAATCGTAATCACCCGCATTCACGAGTACCTTCGCCAAATTTCGACAAAAATGCGCGAGGGTGGTGTCCCTCTCCGAAATTATACCATTTATACAAAGCTGGGGAAAGCTCCAAAAGACTATCCCAATGCGGATAGCATGCCGCAGGTCCAAGTCGCTTTACGTGAGCTCTCTCGTGGAAAGAATGTTCGAAAAGACGATGTTATCGCTTACATTGTTACGGGTGATGGCAAAACAACTTCCGAACCTCCTGCAAAGCGATCTTATACTCCTCAAGATGTCGCAAAAGCCGATTCGGGGCTTACTCCAGACGTGGAATGGTACTTGTACAAGCAGATCTTCCCTCCGGTTGAACGTTTATGCGCAAATATATCTGGCACCGACACTGTCCGTCTGGCGGAATGCCTTGGCCTCGATATCCGCAAGTACAGCATCAGTAATAATACTTCGACTGGTAATTCAGAGACTGAAATACATCCTCTTGAGAGCCAGATTGACGATGAAGTGCGCTTCAAGGATGCCGTCCGTTTGACCCTTCGCTGTCGAGCATGCAAAGCCCTTTTCGGTTTCGATGGTCTCCTTGGCAGTATTGATATCTGCTCCCCAGCTGGTATCACTTGTCGCTGTGGGCAGGTTTTGTCCAATCTCACGGTCATGATGCAACTAGAACATCAAATCCGACAGCAGACATGCAAGTACTATGAGGGTTGGCTGGTTTGTGATGACCAAGCTTGCGGTAATCGCACGAGACAAATGAGTGTTTACGGCCATCGATGCTTAGGGCCGAAGGGTTTGGCCCATGGATGCCTAGGCAAGATGCGTTACGAGTATACCGAGAAAATGATCTATAACCAGCTATTATACTTCGCGACGTTGTTTGATGTTGAGAAGGCAAAGAATGCGGCTAAAGGAGCAGAGAGAGGTAAGCAACATATGCTGCGTGCCTGAATAACAGTAACTAACTACTTAACAGATCGCGTTATGGCACTTGCGGAGCATAACCGCGTTAGATTTGGCGTGCTGAAAGGGGTCGTAGAGAAGTATCTGGATAAGTGCGGTAGACAATGGGTTGCGATGGATAGTTTATTTGGGAAATTGGGGTTCACTGCTTGAACGGGTAATCATGATCATCGGCGTCGGGTTCTTGTTTCATGGGGTTTGTATGGGTCTATATCATGAATGCAGCGCGGCGTGTTATTATTTAGTACCTAGTTACACATCTTGAAGATATCCTTGAGCGATGTTCAAGTGAGGGGCGGGTGGGGCCTGTCTAAATAGTCTTAGCGGGCTAAAATTTGCCGGTAGTCACCGCCTTGACTTCTTAACGCAGAATATGAACTCGAATCCTCGAATCTGTGATGCTTTCGTAGTTTTGTAACTTTGTGACTGAAAGTATTCAAATAAGAAATACCGTCAAAATGGTGAATATTACAGAGAAGATCAAGGAGTAAGTCTACTGTAAACAATAAGTATTCCCACGCTAAACCATTACGTAGGATCGAGGAGGAGATGAGGAGGACCCAAAGTGAGTGCGCGCCTCAATCCCTAAAGCTATCTTTCTAGTTACTCCTTTTGTTACAATATGCTCACTGAAAATAGAGAACAAGGCAACTGGTAAGAAGACTTCCGTAAATTGTGATACACGTGATCAGTCCTGACTTCTATCCAGAATATCACTTGGGTTTGCTGAAAGGGTGAGAGCCATTCAACCGTGGTTGACTACTACAAGACTCACTGAATATCCAGAAAGCTTGCACGATTAAGGGCCCAGCTCCTCGAGCCTGGACCAGGTGCTGGTGGAGGAGGTGGAGCCGGATTTGATGTGAGCAAAAGTGGCGATGCACGAATAGCGCTTGTTGGATTCCCCTCTGTGGGAAAATCGACCTTCTTGTCCAAGATCACCAAGACGAAATCAGAAGTTGCAGCGTACTCTTTCACGACTTTGACAGCTATTCCTGGCGTGCTAGAGTATGGCGGAGCGGAAATCCAGATTCTAGATCTCCCGGGTATTATCGAGGGAGCTTCCGAGGGGAAGGGAAGAGGGAGACAGGTCATTTCTGCGGCGAAGACTAGTGATATGATTTTGATGGTCCTAGATGCTACGAAGAAGGCTGAGCAGAGAGCACTTTTGGAAGCGGAGTTGGAGGCTGTCGGGATTCGGTTGAATAGAGAACCTCCGTAAGTATACTTCCTACAGTTATTGGATTGGAGAAGCTGATGAGAGACAGGAATATCTATCTGAAGCCAAAGGCAGCTGGAGGTATGAAGATTACCTTCCAGAGCCCGCCGAAGAATATCGACCAGAAGATGGTCTATAACATCCTCCGGGATTACAAGATTCTGAACTGCGAAGTGCTGGTTCGAGATGAGAACGTGACGGTCGATGACTTCATTGATGTGATTATGAAGGATCACCGCAAGTACATCAAATGTCTCTACGTCTACAACAAGATAGACAGCGTGTCTCTGGACTTCCTCGACAAGCTGGCACGTGAACCACAAACTGCGGTCATGAGTTGCGAGCTGGATTTGGGCATTCAGGATGTGGTGGAGAGATGTTGGCAGGAACTGAAGCTGATTAGGATTTACACGAAGAGAAAGGGGGTGGACCCGGACTTTTCGGAAGCTCTTATTGTAAGGAATAACAGTACGATTGAGGATGTCTGTGATCACATCCACAGGACGATGAAAGACACCTTCAAGTATGCTTTGGTTTGGGGGGCCAGTGCGAGGCATATCCCACAGCGGGTGGGTTTGGGACATGTCGTTGCAGATGAAGATGTGGTTAGTATTGTGAGCAATTATAGGGCATAAAGGAATGAATGGATTTGGAGTTGGGCGTTCATCTTGGATTACGCATAGCATCAGCAGACTAGATCCAAGCACAAGCGTCACTCTCTAAACAGCATGCAAGAATAACAGAAGTCATAGGAAGCTATCATCAATTGCCCATGTCCAACTGGGCTGTGCCGTACAAATACACAATACCAGCCTAAACAAACTCCAGTAGCCCGTCCATTATCTCCAAGCCGTCATTATACCCAATGCCCTATCGAGTCGATGTATATAACAATACTCCCTACCCATGTTCGTAATGTGAATGTTATCCGAATCATAAGAAAAGCTGAGCTGATAGAGTCTTTCAGGCCAGTCTCAGTTCCACATCAACACCCTTATAGGTCCGCGAACTTCTTCTCTTCGAGGTTGGCTGGCTTATCCGCAAACATGCTTCCAGGTCCCAGTCCAATGTTCTTGGCAGAGGTCTTTGCGAAGAGGGACTTGGGCTTAGCTCTATTGAGAGAGGATTAGCATCTTGATATAACAATAAACAGGTGCGGATGGATGGCAACTTACTTTCCAACTTGCTTGCTCCGGTAAGCACTCAACTTGGCTGTGCATGGGCTCATGATATTGTCGGATGGGGAGACGTATGATGGGTTTGCTCTACATTGCCGTCAGCTAGCCATCCTTTGAGCTTGAGCTTGATAGATACTTACTGTCCCTCCTCAAGCTTGGACTGTAGGACCTGACGGTGATACTCCATACTCTTGACATCAGCCTTGACATCGCCAGCCTGCTGCGCAGCAGTCGCATTGACGTCTCGATCGACAAGAACGTTGGAAGACATGTCGAATTGTTTGTTTTGTAGGTTTGTGTTATGTAGCGGAAGTTGTTTCTAAGTTCTTTGGAAGGAAGTCTGAGAATTTGTCGAAGAGCAGTTCTTGTAGAGGCTTGGTTGAGGGATGTCAAGAGCATGCGGCTTCCTTATCCTTAGTAAACAGAAGTTGGTGGGTCGTCAGCGTTGCGGGGCAACCCATCAATGCCAGCGATGTAAAAAAATCCTGACGTAACATCGTAGACATTTTTCACCCAGTAGTGGATCTTGTTTACTTTTTTTTGTTTTTCTTTTTCTTTATCATGCCTTATCTAGTTTCATATATATAATAGGGACCGTGAAAAGATATTAGCAGCTACAATGTTCCCGGAGATATCGTGAACGATAACCTACAAACGCGACCGAATCGTAGAACCCGGTTGATGGCGTGTCACACCGTATTTCGCAAATAACTGTTCTGAAGTCTTCTGTTGCTGCTGAATGAGCGCAGTCACCTCTGCACCCCTCTTGTTCTCATTTCGTCCCATTTGCTGCAAGTGAACCTCATCAGGTCCATCGGCTAATCTGAGTGTTCGGATATTTGCCCACATGCTTGCAAGAGGGGTATCTTGACAGATACCGGCAGCGCCAAAGGACTGAACCGCCCGATCGATGACTGTGAGAGCCATCTGTGGTACGAGAACCTTGGCTTCAGCAATCTCCTTCAATGCACGCTTTGCTCCGAGATCATCAATCTTGATAGCGGCGTTGAGAACGATCAGACGAGCTGCATCGATTTCGATACGCGACTTGGCAACCCACTCAAGGATGACTCCGTGCTCTTTTAGTTGCTTGCCAAATGGCGTTTTCTTGGGATCGTTGATGCGCATGAGCATCCACTCAAGGGCTCTTTCGGCCTGGATTGTGTTAGTCTCGCACAGAAAAGCTCGATATATATTACTTACAGCACCAATGGCACGCATGGCATGATGGATACGGCCCGGCCCAAGACGTCCCTGAATAATTTCAAATCCCCGGCCAGGGCCCAGTACTATGTTGCTTGCCGGTACTCGAACATTCTTGAATGTCACATGGCCATGTCCATGAGGAGCATCGTCATAACCGTAGACGGACAACATTCGTTCAATAGTGATACCTGGTGTGTCGGCTGGCACCAAAACAACTGATTGTTGTTTGTAGACATCTTTGTTTCCAGGATCGCTCTTGGCCATAACGATATAGATCTTACACCTTGGGTCACCAGCACCGCTCGACCACCATTTCTACGAGTGTGAGCACCAAATATCACCTGGGGCAGAAATTTGACTTACTTGGCCATTCAAAACCCACTCATCGCCTTCCCTCTTCATGCTCATCTTAATATTAGTTGCGTCTGAAGAAGCGACATCCGGTTCCGTCATCAAGAAGGCCGATCGAATCTCTCCATTCATCAATGGGTCCAACCACTTCCTCTTCTGTTCCTCAGTTCCGTACTTCGCAAAGACTTCCATGTTTCCGGTATCTGGTGCGGCACAGTTGACAGCCTCAGGCGCTACACGAGATTTTCCTAAATGTTCGGCCATCAAGCCGTATTCGAGATTCGTGAAGCCGGCTGATTCTTTGTAGTGACCCTTTGGAAGGAACATATTCCATAATCCAAGCCTCTTCGCCTCCTTCTTCAGGTCATCTATGACCGAGGGGTAATGATCCCATCGTTGCGCACCTTCTCCGATTTGTGCTTCGTATATAGGATCAGCTCTGCGGATGGTCAGTCATTGTCATGGAGTGGGAGCGCGGGGGGCCTCTGCAGGATGCTTTGGGGACGTGATTAGGGATTCAAACTTACGGGATGCATTGTTCATCAACAAACTTCTTGACCAAGTCCAGGGTCTTCTTTGCTTTTTCGCTGACTCTGTTGACAGCCTGGGAGCCAAGTTAGCAACTGAAGAAGGTGTGCGGGGTGATGGTAAGCAATCGTACGATGAGGGGGATTTTGTCCGACATATTTGCCAATATCTGGCTTCCAAAGGATGTGGTACGGGAGAGAATATGCAATTCGATAGGGACAAAGAATAAGCCCAGGTGCGACAGATGGTAGTGTCAAGAGAAGGGGGAGAGAAGAGAGGAGAGGAGAGGAGTTTACTGTGTACGGGGTACTATACTATTATACGGAGTTAGGTCGTACGGTCTTGTCCCCAGCTTTCCCCACACGCGGGCCCTTTCGGTTCTCGGTTCTTGAGGCCGAGGTCAATTATCACGGTTAGTGGAGTAACGGAATCCAGCCTATCCGCATCCGTTTCGGATTTGTAAATGTAAAGTACCTATAGATAACGAGGCATTTCTGGGATACTCCGTACCTAGTTCTAAATATCTGTTGGGTCTCAAGAAGTTAACAGCCTCCCTGCTTCCCTCAAGCACCCATTCTTGCTGGGGAGACTCAAATCCCGTCTGGTAGAAATCACAGGGGGTATCACAACTAGCCCAAGCATTCTACTCCTTAATATCCCTTTTGAAAAAAGAAGCAGCTCCGGGACGCCGAGATGAGTGAAAAGATGTCTATTGATATCCCAAACTCCGGCGTTATGCGCTGCCCCCATACTACGTAGTCATCCGATCCAGAAGGTCCCTACCCATTCCTCAGTAGAAAATGATATGAGCATGAGTCCCGTCCCTCGATCAATCAGTGAAGTAGTCTGCTCTCCTTTTTCCATTTCCCCTCTTTCCTTGCTTGAAATGCTTTTTGCTAGTCAGTAATCTGACGTCGTTTGGATCAACATCCTTCTCCAGTGCCAGCATCGTCTTCTGTTTCCGGCCTGACAACTGCTTTCCACTCGCAGTTCCTTGTATCGAGTACTTATGGTTGAATGGCATTCGCAGGTGCGCCGAGTTGCCTTGGCCCTGTGCAAAAAAGGCACCATCTAGCTGCTTAGACTTTGGACCTTGCTGCAAGGACACCATATCCGAGTCCGCGATGGAAGATTGGTCATCGATCGAAGGATCCATAGCTGCTAATGCTTGTCGTCTCTTTTCTGGAAGATGTGCTTCATCATAAAGCCCTCGGTTGAATTCGATGGGGTCGATGTCCACAGGAGGCGGTTGACAGAACAGCAGTTTGCCGTTCACATAATCCTTCAAAATGTATCTAGCCGCTCTAGATTCATCGGGCTGTCCTTGACCAGTCCTCGTGAACCCCCGAGCTTTGGCATAAGCTGACAACAACTCTTCTGCAGTTGGAATTCCTGTGCCCCCTTCTTCAATAGGCCGAGTGACAATTTTCATCCCATAAAGAGCTTCTAAGAATGCCTGGGGAATTCGCCTTGCCACAAGCCCCGCAGGCCCCGTGAACTCTCTAAGCTGGTCTATTGGCAAGACACCATTGCATACAAGTTCCGCTTTGGTGGTTGCAAAATTGGGAAACACGAGACCGGGACAATCGCACAAGAGAACCTTATCGCTCAGATGAATGGTCTGGAAGTGTTTTGTCTTGCCTGGCGTTGACGACACTGACACTTTCTTTGCGCCGATTAACGCGTTGATAGTTGACGATTTCCCGACATTCGGATACCCAACAAGCCCGATTTGTGTCTTTCTAGGGTTCTCTGATCCAGAGTCTGGATATGTCAGGGCAGGCTATATGAAAAGGGAAGAAAGAGCTTACCTTGGTTATCCGGTGCATGTTCTAAGAACAAAGCTTCTAGTTCATCAACGGTTAAAATCCTCGTGCCTTCGTCCTCGTCCTCTGCATCACCGTCATCCTCATCTTCTTCTTCCTCGGAACTATTCTCATCCTCATCCCCATCCTTGATCTTGAGTCCCTTGATTTTTGCTGCAAGCATTCCACCTTTAGCCTTGGCCTTTTTTGGAAGAGCTTCCTCGTCACTCTCCTCGTCCTCCTCGAAATCCCGAGCCTCATTCAACTCCTTTGCTAAGCTGGCCGAAAAGAATTTGTATGCAATACCGGCTCCTTTGAAGTAATCTGCCCAGGCTCGTCGTTGCTCCAGAGTCAACATATCTGCCTTGTTCACGAGAAGAAGGTTCTCCTTTCTCTCCCCAACGTGCTTAACATATCTCTCTAGATCCTCTGACCGGAACAGTAGAGGATTTCGTGCATCGACAATTTGTACCACCAAATCGGACCTCTCAATGACTCTCCACAATTGCCTCCAAACCTCGAGATTTCGCTCAAAAGGTGTCATGAGCAGATCATTGTTTTCCTGTAATTCTGCCAAACCCCGCCTCCATTCCAATAAACTGTCCCTTTCCATACGGTCAAGTTCCTCCGGAGTTGTGGTTGCATCCCACTTTGGCCTCCTCGGCACCGTGAGTCGGTCCTTATGTGCCTTCTGTTTCCCAACCGCTGCTCTTTCCTCCGCTGCAGATAAGAGGTACGGGTTTTTCTGGTCCGTGTGGATGATCTTGACGTTATTCATCTTCTCCGCGGTGAAATCTGTGCCCGCCAGTTCTGCTGTCGATAGAAACTCATCGAGGGCAGCCTGCTCAGTGATCGACCGCATTTTGACCCAGCTGGCCTCCTTCTTGTCGTTCGTGACATACTTTGCCTCATCAGTTTCTACCCAATATTTTGTCTGATACTCCACTTACAGTCTCTCCAGTAGCATGATTTATTCTATGAATTCCTGCCGAAGTGACCTTCTTGCGATCTGCGCCTTTCCCCTTTCCAAACCGATCGTTCATCAAACTGCCGTTGATGAGCGTGAGGATAAATGGGGAGCGTAGTCAACGTACCTGTTGCCCAAGCCGACGGCATTCTTTGACTTTGCAAGAACCATCTTGGCTGTAGGGACGTATTCCTATTCTCTATGTATTTCCTAAGTGTAACAGTGATGGATGATTCTTGTTAAAATTGTTTGTGGCTTGTTCGATGTCGGAAAGCCGATTGCTTGGGTAAGTGAGGGGCGAGAAATTTCATCATCCCGACCCCACCAAGTTTTTTTCATTTTGGAAATTTTGGAACTGCAGTACATCCATCACATCGAGCCTCTCACAACGCCGCCAAAATACCGCCATAATGCCACGAGCGAAGTGGATTGATAAGAAGACTGCGACTCATTTTACTCTAGTCCATCGACCTCAAAATGACCCTCTTATCCACGATCCGTCGGCCTCATCAATGGTCCTCAATCCCACACCCTTACCGAACTCCAATAAAATAAAAAAGCTTGACGATTTGGCTTCTGAATTGGGATCTGACGTAGAGAAAGTCAGAGATAATGAGGGAGAAGCTGCAAATTATGGGATTTACTACGATGATACCGAATATGATTACATGCAACACATGAGGGATCTGGGGACTGGCTCAGGAGAGGCATACTTTGTAGAGGCGTCTGCGCCTAAAAACAAGGACAAAGGTAAAGCGAAGCAATCCTTAGAGGATGCTTTAAGGGAAGCAAGCTTGGAAGACCGGGCCAAGGTGCTGTTGGATGAGGAAATATTACCATCGAAGAATCTGCGCCGAACCACGTACCAAGCGCAACAAGATGTGCCAGATGCCTTAGCAGGGTTTCAACCCGATATGGATCCAAGGCTACGGGAGGTACTTGAGGCCCTAGAGGATGATGCTTACGTCGATGACGACGATGAGATCTTCGGAGAGTTAGCGAAGGATGGAGAAGAAGTTGATGAAGGCGAGTTTGGCCAAGATGCTTGGGAGGACGAGGACGAGGGGTGGGAATCAGATGCCACAGCAAAACCCACAAAGGAGTACAAAGATGCCCCTGCATCAACTACCGATATTGAGGGCGATGACCGTGAGGACCATGGAGATGGTGATTGGATGGCCAACTTCAGCAGATTCAAGAAGGATCAAAAATCCAAATTGACACCTATCGCACCTTCACAGTCGGATTTACAATCTTCAATCATGACTACCACCACAAATGGTGGGAGACGGAAGAAGCGGAAGGGTGCCTTGACAAACCCATCTGCCTATTCGATGACATCGTCTTCCATGTTTCGAACTGAGGGTCTCACCGACTTAGACGCAAGATTTGAGAAGCTCGAGGAGAGGTATAATGAAGATATGGATGATATGGACGACATGGCCTCAGTTTCTGTTGCATCGTCGACTGCTTCAAGCGTGCAAGGTCCCGTCAGGGGTGATTTTGACAGTATTATGGATGATTTCTTAGGCAACTACTCTAGGAGTGGCAAGAAGCACGTCAAGAAAGGAAGATACCAAAGCGGGATGGAACAACTGGATGAAGTCCGGAAGGGACTAGGACCTGCACGAATTCGGCCACAAAAAGCATGATGGTATTTGGAAACAAGTTGGTTTCTGATATCAAGGCGTTCTGAAGGATACCATTAGACAGGATTGGGTTCGGCATAAATGATACCTTCTGATTGCGTAGGTAAAATCAAGTGCTATAGGCAATGAATTATTCTAATCTCTCCGGTTTTGGATGCAAAATCAGGTTGTGGTTCGTTCTACTATTTAGCGGTGAGTTCGACTACATAAGAGAGAACACGTATTATGACAAATAGTGCAGTGAGAACAACAGATGTAGAACAGCAGAGAAATATTTAATAGCCTCGCTGGGGTTGAAAATAGGCCGCTCTAGGTGTTATCTGCTCTGTGCAGACGGATTTGGGATTATGTGTAAGGCGGCCAAGGATGGCAGAATAGAGGATTCGCCCAAACAGGCCTAAGCTACCATTCGAATCGCGATCAACAATAGGTAAGGTAGGAAAGTAGGTAGGCAAGGTACCTGGAGACAAAGAATAACCATCACAATAGATGCATGAGATTCACTACAACCAACTAAAGACACTTCTTTCTTTGCTCCTCTTCTCGTCCGACCCCCTCTTCCTCATGATCAACAACAAGAACGATGCTGCTCGGACGCAGTAATACTCGCGGCGCGCGAGGGCAATCGCAAAATCGTTCACGAGCATCAAGAGGTCGCGGTTCGACGAGTCGAGGAGCTCTAAACTCCTCCAGTAAGTTGACAGATGACATCCTTATCCCAAAGGGCCCAAGGTCGTTCAGGGACAGTTCCAACACGTATACTGGCTCCAACTACCGTGGCAAAAACTTTAACCCCACTCATATGAACCGTTACTCAAACTTCAAGAACACAGGCACCACAACTCCCCCAAACCCTTTCGAGAAGGAACGACTCGAGAATGCTGCAAAACGTGAGCAGCGCGAACAGCGCGGCGGTCAAAACCGGGCGATGACCAATGGAAGCGGAGGCAGAGCGACCCCTCGGGGCTTGCACAGCAATAGACAAATGCGTTTCACAGACAATAAACCTGTCGAGAAGGAGAATCAGTCTCCAGCTACGACAAACCCATTCGCAACCGCAAATGCGACTCCTTCGGCATTTGGTACGCCATCCACAGCGTCTTTCAATCCCTTCGCTTCAGCTACCAAAAAGGAGCCTCCAGCGAATCCATTTGGCGCGCCATCAGCAGTCAATAACCCGTTCGGCGCTCCTTCTCAACCATCTACAAACTTCTTTGGCAAACCCTCAGGTCCTCTTTCTCAAAGTCCCTTGCCAAATGGATTTCAAAATTCCTCGTCGAGCATTTTTGGTGCACCCTCGAAACCGTCCTCGGTGAGTCCATTCGACAGGACCTCTTCTAGTACGAACGGTACACAAGTCGGTTCAAACAGTCTAAATCCTTTCTCAAGTCGACCAACCTCGAACCCATCTGGTGGACCATCTCCGAGCTCATTGAGCAATTACGCCGTTTCAACATCCACCCCCAGTGGCGTAGTGGTATCAAGCTCCCCCGCCCCGTCGAGTTTCGGTGCCTTTACTTCGACGACCATGGCCAATGGATTCAAGCCGAGTACGAATTCTCCAGCAGAGACAACGATTGCAACCCCCAACGCGTCGAATGTTGGACCTACTTCTAGCAGTGCTCTGGCTCAGAAAATGGATACCCTGCTGCGGAAACAAGGGATTAATCCGCCAGCCTGGCCTACTACAACACCTGGTGATCCGAAGCAGAAGAGTGCTGTAGAAGCCTTTTGGCAGTCCTCCAAAGGATACCGAAGCAAAGTCCGCGCATCCTTAATCAAAGCAGGCTTACTCGACGATCCGGACAAGCCGAAGAAACTCAGCGAAGCTATTGATTTCAAGGGAACCTGCGAGGACATGTGCCCAGAATTCGAGAAGATCACCAGGATTATGGAGCATGATGTGCAGGGCCCCGAAAAGGAAGTCGCACCGGACGGGTCTTTGTGGCCATCACCCCAAAAGATGGTCAAAGCATTGGCTAGATCCGCTGCCGGACAGGATGCACCTTTACCAATGGATGTGAGATCGCCAGCGGCGCTTCGACGAACACTTGATTATCTTCTTCATACGGTCTTAGGAGATGATGGAAACCTTCCAGCGATACACGGCTTTCTCTGGGATCGAACGCGAGCCATTCGACGAGACTTCGTCTTTCAGTCTTCAATGAATCCTTCAGAACTCGCTGATCAAGTCTATTGCCTAGAACGTATCACGAGGTTTCATGTCATCGCTCTGCATCAAATGTCGAGTGATGTTGTCGTGGCCGAAGACTTCTCTGAACAGCAAGAAGTCGAGCAATTGGGAAAGGCACTTCTCTCCCTCATTCATGCATATGAAGATTGCAACGCTCAGGGCATAACTTGCGAAAACGAGGCCGAGTTCAGAGCCTACTACATCTTGTTTAACAGTCACAGTACAGGAATATTAGAGACTGTGCAAGATTGGGGATGGAGATTTTGGGGTGAGTCGGATGAAATCAGGATCGCTGTTAGCCTCGTCGAGGCTATGCAAAACACTTGGGATACATCTGGTCCTCTGAAGCCCCACTCAGCAACAGATAGCTCTCAGAACTTCTACTCTCGCTTCTTTTCCATCGTTGAAGATAGACAGGTTTCGTACACAATGGCGTGCTTTGCCGAAATTCACTTCAACCATGTCCGGAAATCTGTTCTAAAAACAATACTCTCCTCATACCGCAAGCAGCGAGATCAGACCAAGGACTGGTCGCTGACAAATCTGAATACTTATCTGTGTTTCGATGATGAAGAGGACATCATACCATTTGGAGAAGCGTACGGTTTACGATTTGACGAAATAGATGGCGAAGTGTATTTGTCATTTGAGTTAGGGGACACGATCGCCGACCCTTTTCCGCCATTACACCAACGTCATTCATACTCTCTGGTCGAACGAAAGCGCGGTAACTACTCACTACCGGCTGTAATTGACACAACGGTGTATGAGGAGGGAGAGTCTGAGGCAGGTGTTGATTTTGCTGGCGAGGACGGGGATGAAAAGGAGCAGAAAGAGGAAGGAGAGACAGGGCTGTTTGTGAAGGATAACAATCCTCAAAATGGTTCAGGTGCTTCAATTTTCAGACCTGAGCCTGCGCCTGCCAATGAAAACGACAAGGAGATTGGCGGGCAAGATCCGGCGTCAGTAGGCCCAGCCAAGTCGGTGCAAATGCAGGAGACTATCTCGAAGCCAACTTCTCTCTCTGTCTTTGGTAGCGCGACTGCTCCGACGACGAAGTTTGGTAGTGACTTCTTCACACAAAAGCCTACCGCAGATACACCCTTATCTCAGCCAGCTAAACCAGAGACTTCAGCCTTCGTATTCGGAAATCCAGCAACAAAGCTGACGTCGTCTGCTCCAACGCCCACAACTGCTCCATCGGGTGGCACAACCAACAGCCCATTCGTACCTCCCTTCTCCTTATCTTCTCAGACTCCACCAGTTCAGTCGTCTCCGTTGGGCTCAAAGCCGCCTTTATCTCTGGGACCTCACACTGTTCCTGCAAGTCCTATCCCGAGCGGGAGCCCTAAATCTCAATTTTCCCTTGGGGATTATGCAGTCACTCGCCCAAGTGAAGCATCAGCCGTCACTACACCAAATCAGGAAGTAATAGCAGCTCCTTCGAAAGACAACAACCCAGCTGTTCTATCGAAAAATATAAGCCAGATTCCGACGCCGCAATATTTATCCAGCGGACCACCAGCTACTGCTTCTCAACAGGAACAGGTTTCAAACGCCCCACGAGTACAAGCTGAGATACCGCAAGACACTCCGTTACCACTTGCAGTCGAGGAGAATAAAATTGGCCAGGCAACATTCAGTCCAAAGCCGCCAACGCTCATTGACCAAAAGGCGAAACTCTCTAATTTCTCCAATTGGTTTGTTACTGGCGACGACGGGATCATTGATCAATTTACTACATTCGCTGTTGACCAGATCGCTAAGAATGCCTGGCGCATATTTAAGAAGGAAGAGGCAGAGCGAATTGCCCGAGAAGCCGATGCATTGGCAAGACAGGAGGCGGATGAGTTCAGATATCACTCTCTGGCTACTAAGTACGGTCGTATGTGGCGGGATGCAGCCCATCGGAAGTGGCTGAAACGGAAAGGAAGGGAGGCAAGAAGGGCTCGACAAGAAATGGCGGAAAGCCTACGGGCTTCCAAAGCTGCACTATCAGCGAGTATGGTTGAAGACTTCAGAGCTTCCACTAAGAGGCGACGGAATAGCCTAGAGAGTTTGCTGGATGCGACAGGAATCTTAGATGGGGTTCATAATTCGGACGAGCAAATTCGGGCTATTGTGCAAGATGAGATCCAGAAATCTGAGGCCGAGCGCAAGCGACGAAGATCTCGACGAGTTACCGACAGTTCAAGTACGAGTACAAATCAACACAAGCGCGGCAGATCAGACAATCCTCTTCGTCGCTCTCTGCTATCGGATCCGTCCTATCTGAATGGCGGGTCAAGGATACATCTCATGTCAAACTATGGCGCTCAAGATGAAGAACGTCGACAGGTTAGCGGAGTGCAGACTGATTACTTTCGATTAAAAGCCAGAGGGATCACAACCTTGCCCAACGGAATGCCTCTCGCAAGCTCTGTTGCGAACAACACACTGCATAAGAAGCACTCATTTGATGGCATCAATCAGCCCCAGCCAACGACTCCAAAATCATCAAGGCAACAGCCTACCCCGAAAAGTGCTCCAGCCAATAACAAACAATACGAGGGTCCACGAAGTACTGCCAGGCGCGAGGACGATATTCAGATATTGAAGGCTAGAGCAAAAGCTCTTATCGCTGAGGAGGAAACGTCGCGCCAAAGGGAGCGGAAACGATCTTTTGATGAAGGAGATGACGAGGAACTGTTTGCAAGAGCAAAGAGGGTTAGGGAGCAGATGGATGAAGGTGCTCAATGGTTCCGAAAGGAAATAGAGAGGAGCAGAAGTAGTACATCCGGGATGTAGAACATAGTATCTTGGGCTGTATCTTTCTGCGACCACGGAGACAAAATATGTCGGGGCATTTTAAATGTTGGGAGTTTTGGGGCGTGATTGGCATTTTCAGAGAGTTTGGGTTTGAGAGGGCTTGTATAGTGGACGAGATACCCTTTTTGAGTATTGGGAGAGAAGCTGGGGACTTCCATTAAAAAAGAGCCATATGAATCATGAAGCTTTCGAAATCACCCTGTTTGAGTTTTCCATATAAGTTCACTACTCTTGTTCTTGCTTCTGGCTTCTGGTGTAGGCCAGTTGTCTGAATCAACAGCTGCTGTTGATGGTTGATATCCGCTTTTGAAGTCCAAGCACGTGACCAAATACGCTAGCAGAGAATCAGTTAGCTCGTGAGAATCTCCACTTTTCCGCCTTCTGTGCGAAGTAAAAATTACCTCGACAAATTCAAATCGAAGTAAAAATAAATTTCAAAGTTCACGAAGAGCCTACAACTAATTCCCAGACGGACCGTGAGAGGGAATAGAGGAAACTGCGCAAAGTGCCAATCTTCGAGATGGCTCTTGTCGCAGCAAAAAAAGAGGAAGACTACAGCATCAAGCCTGAAGCTTCAACCCCAGCCGTTGACACCAGCGACTGGCCTCTGTTGCTGAAGAACTATAACAAGCGTATGAGAGGCAACTGTCAAGGCATATAAGGATTCACTAACGGAGCCTCTAGTTCTCGTTCGAACCGGACATTTCACGCCCATTCCCAATGGCTGCGCTCCGCTCAAGCGCGACCTCAAATCATACATCAGCTCTGGTGTTATAAACCTTGACAAGCCGTCCAATCCTTCGAGTCACGAAGTAGTTGCGTGGGTGAAGCGCATACTCAGGTAATTCTTGCACATCTGAAACTAAGCCGTCATATGCTAACTCGCTGGTTATAGAGTAGAGAAGACTGGCCACAGTGGTACCCTCGACCCGAAGGTGACAGGATGCTTGATTGTCTGCATTGATCGTGCAACAAGACTTGTGAAGTCACAACAAGGAGCTGGAAAAGAATATGTGTGTGTCATCCGACTACATGACAAGCTGCCGGGAGGTGAAGCGCAATTTGCGCGAGCCCTCGAGACTTTGACTGGTGCTCTGTTCCAACGTCCCCCTTTGATCTCCGCCGTCAAGCGACAACTGCGTATCCGAACAATCCATGAGAGCAAGCTATATGAGTTCGACAATGAAAGGCACCTGGGTGTATTCTGGGTCAGCTGCGAAGCTGGAACCTACATTCGTACACTTTGTGTTCACCTTGGATTGCTCTTAGGTGTTGGTGCTCACATGCAAGAGCTTCGTCGAGTCCGAAGTGGTGCTATGGATGAGCAGAAAAATATGGTGACTCTTCATGACGTGTTGGATGCGCAATGGATGCAGGATAATACACGGGACGAATCGTATTTGAGAAAGGTCATTTCGCCATTGGAAACACTTCTCACTACATACAAGAGAATCGTGGTCAAGGACAGCGCGGTCAACGCGGTATGCTACGGTGCCAAATTGATGATTCCAGGTTTGCTTCGATACGGTAAGCTTGCACTGTATGGCATGCAATATTCTTACGCTAACAAATTTCCAGAGGCCGGCATTGAAGTTCACGAGGAGGTGGTTCTCATGACAACTAAAGGAGAGGCGATTGCTCTGGGTATCGCACAGATGTCAACAGTTGAACTCTCGACCTGCGATCACGGAGTGGTTGCTAAGGTCAAGCGTTGTATCATGGAGCGCGACCTCTACCCACGACGATGGGGTCTCGGACCTGTCGCCTTGGAAAAGAAGAAGATGAAGGCAGATGGCAAACTTGACAAGTACGGCCGGCCGAACGAGGCGACCCCCGCTAAATGGAACAACGAGTACAAGGATTTCAATGCGCCACTTGATTCATCAAATTCTGCTCCAGCTGCAGCCAGCACGCCAGCCAAGGAGGTCGCTGCTGCCCCCGCCGCTGCCCCCGAATCTGATGCTGTCGACCCTGATGTTTCCATGATCAGCAACGGTGTCGAAGAATCAGGCAAGAAGCGCAAGCGTCACGAAGGCGAAACGGCGGAGGAGAAGGCGGAGAGGAAGCGCAAGAAGAAGGAGAAGAAAGAGAAGAAGGCGAAGAAGGAAGGCAAGAATGTCGAGGCTAGTGACGATAGCGAATAAGCCTGATCTGGGTCAAGCTTATCTGTTTCGTTTCTTCAAAATCAGGCTTGTTGGCTTTGTGCATAGTTTCTCGGGCGTTTCGATGCATCAAGTTGTAGGATGATGTAGACGGGTCAAAAACGGAGTTTATAGGTTGTCTTTTGAGGCTGTAAAAAATGCAAGCTTTTATTCCAATCCTCTACGTCTTCACAGCCCTTGGTGTGGTGATCTCTGAGTGTGGTTGAAGGAGCGATCAGGTCGACGATTAGGTAAGTGAGTGTGTTTCTCCCAAGCTCCTGTCGAAATATAATTCCAAATTCTGGTGGTGACAACCTCGCAGGAAATACTACCCTCTCCCTCACTCTCAGCATGATTGTTGGTGGTCAGCAGGACTACAAGATGGGCGTACGAGAGGGGCTGCAAGTCAGACAATCCGGCCTAAATCCAGTGGTATGTAGGGGCTTCAGACCAATGACCCTCTCGGGCACATACCGAAGGGTGCACACAGCACACCGCACGCTCGACCCGATGCCCGAGTTGCAAGGGGCCGCCGAACAGAGAGCCCGTTGCCGAATGCTGGGTTCATGAGCCGAATGGACAGGACCATCTCGGCATTCGCGTTCTTTACGAGCGAGTCCACACCGTTGTATCGGGTCGCCATCTCAAGACACCATTAACAGCCTTCTGCCGATCGCGTGCAACCCGGGGCCAACGAGCTGCGGTAGACCCCTCTGGCCTCAGTGCTGGGTGTGGAAGTGCCGAATCTAAAGCCGCAAGAGGAGCAGCGGCGGATAGACACAACTGAGAACCCGCGGTATGCAGAACCAGCCGAGGGAAAAAGGAAGGATGCGGACTCTCTCTGGATGTACTTACCAAGTTACGGTTGACCATAATGTGGCTCTGACTAACCCCTTGGACCAGGTATATGCAGATGGATCTTTTCATTATTCAGTCCTTACAACTCACTTTTGCATGATAATGGGATGCATTTCTCATTCTCATTCTCATCCCTGTTCTGTAGTAACAGTTGTGTTCCAACACCGGATGAGGTTACATAGCAACACCACGGTGTCCACTGATGGTGACCTGGCCGTTACAATGCCAGGAGGCGCAGCGCTGTCCAATGGCCACGGATGGAAAGAATCTGATCTGCCATGGGATTCATCAACCCCCACTCCCCAATGCCGATGGTCGATCTGCGGAACAAGGAGCAGGCCATTATTTGGAAGAGTTCCTGGTTCGAGACCGCAGTTATGTGACTGCAGGCTTCAGGGAACAAGCCGATCAACATGGCTTGATAGGTCGGTCGATAACTTGATCATATGGGTATCGACGGAAGATAGATAGTGTGGCGTACAGTCCCGCACCAGGCATGTGCAGCGCAAACATGTGGCACTGGCACTCGGGGAGGCCCTTCAGGCTTCAACGCCTCGCTTGAGTGCTTAGAACCAGACGACAGGATCATTCTCCGGGCATAGGCACTGTACATGGCAGATGTTGGGCTTCATCGCCAACAAGTTGAATAAAACCCCATCCCCACATCGTGCCGTACTCGTGCATCGCCGATGCACATACGGGGTGCGGAGGTAGGGGAAAGGGGAGTAGTAGGGACTCGGTTCAGGGCCAAGACATGCAAATAATCCCGCGAGCATAGACAGAGGTACAGGAGCAGGAGAATCGTATTATCGTCAAGGCAAGTAACAGAAAACTTCCTGGTCCCCGACAACCCTGGCCGTACAACCCCGACTTTGCGGGCACATGCTCTTATATCCCTGAATGCCCCGCCGCGGACAGATTGAGCCTTTTGCAAAGACGAGACTCGGGCCTTGGAAGAGAGAGAGTCTAGAGCTTGATTGATGGATTTTGCGGACCTTTGCGCAGAGCCCTTTCCTCAAGAGGCAGCTTTGAGCGGCGCTCACTGCACACTGCACAGTACCTATAGGTATGTATGTCAGGCGCGGCTACCGTCGAGTAATGGATCCTTGGGGGATCATCCTCCCCGCCGTCTCGTTTATCCAGTTGTCACTATCACACTAACCGCAGCCGCCGATCTTATTATTCCCGCCACGGCCCTACGTCCCTTGATCTAATCGCGGTCGTCGTGAAAAAGCTTCACTGTTGTGTTCATCTTCAGTAGTCACCTCCCAGGCTCTCACGCAGATCCGTCGAGGCAAGGAATTCTTGAGATTCCGTCGGTGGGGGCGCCATTTGCGTAGGCCAATAGCCAACAACCAACAACACTTTACTCAAAACAACAAGGGCACAAGGGCCTATACTAAAGGCAAAGCTGAAAGCCTGACATAACATCGTGCTACTCCGTACTCCGTAAGTTGCTAACTTGCTGTCGATGTATGTGCAGGGTTGTTTTCTGAGAGCGCTTAATACCAAATCCCATTGGTCTCGGCTCTTGCGGGTGCCTCAAGCTGCGGCACCACTGATATTGCGGTACTTCTCACACTGCCCTCTGTACAGCATAGCGTCTCTCTTGACCCCAACCCTTGTGGTGGTTGCAACTTCGAGGCAACATTATACGACCAAGCGCGAGTTGGCCCTCCTGGGTCTTCTATTGGACGAGTGTTTGACTGAGCCAGAGCAGCCGGTCCTCCTCGCGGAACATGGCTGATAGTTCAGACCCGAATCCACGGTTGAACCAGGGCAATGCATTTGAGCAGGGACTCACCGGGCCTGGTCCGCGAACTGTGAGTGGCCTTTCACGCTGCGGTCAGGTAGTACCGCCGCAAAGAAGTTGGTTCGTGGTCAAGGCTCGTTATCGATACTCGATAGCATGAACCCCAAGGCTACGTAGTACAGTAGGCATAGAGGTGGGCGGGGATGGCTGCTTCTCTTCTCACTTCGATACAGCTGCCGGATTTTGTTGGCTTTTGAAGATACCCGATATATGATGCAGTTGTGCCCCATTACCCAATTCCCGTCTCTCTTCTGCGCCTCCATCTCTTTATTTGGGTCTCCAACCGTGCTCGGTATTACTTGATAACCCGCCTCATGACCCGGCCGGCAATTGATGCTCATGATAGTATGACACCGTGAGTTGCGGCTGGTTGCGTGGCGTAAAGCCAAGCCCAGGTGTTGTACATTGTCCCTCAATCCACCTCGCCCTCTCCCGCCTTCCCCCGCCTTCCCTCTTCCAACAGCCAAGATGGATGCAATTAAGCTTTTCCTGCTGGTTATGTCCTGCATATTGCCCTCAGTATTGGCATTGCAAGTAACGCCAAATTCCCAATGTGCCGAAATATGCCTCGATGCTCCTACTCAAGACGCTTCCAATCCAGTTGTACCAAACATTTCTGGGTCCGAGATCGTCTGTAAAGACAGTGACTACCAGAACAGTACTGTTGGCCAGAAGTTTGAGAGTTGTATCAATTGCCTTCAAAACAGTACGACCACTGGTTCGGGACATAGTGACCAGGCGTGGTTCCTTTGTAAGTCTTCGCTCTCGAGTTCAAAGGTCCAGATTGTTCTAACCTTCTGGCAAACAGACAATCTGCGCTTTGCTCTCAATACATGTATATTTGGCACTTCCAACGCCACAGATCCAATATCTACACCTTGCTCTACGGATACGAGCTGTGGTCCGCTCCAGGGTGCCCTCCTGGATGGTATGCAAAATCCATCGACAATACATGAATACGGTTACTGCTCGGCCTACGACAACTCTTTCGTAGGAAGCTTCTTGCCAACATGCACCGCTTGCTTGAGAGACAACAAGAACGAGTTATATCTTGCCAATTGTAGGTCTCTCTCACCTGAATTCCGAACAATACTGATTGATTACTGTCACAGTCCTCGTAGCTCTTGATGCTGGCTGCATCCAACGAGCACCAGCAGGGAGTCTTATCGGTCTGAACGGTACGTTATTTTCGGAGGACCAAGTAGCAATAACCTTCTCGATGACCTCGCCAGCTGGGATGGCTAAACACCACAAAACTCTCTCCTCTGGGGCTATTATTGGCATAGCAGTTGCTTGTGCAGTAGTGGTCATTGCCATTATTGCAATCATCTTCATCCGCGCACGCATGCTTCTAAACGCGAAGCGTTTGAAGGAACTTCAAAGCCCTCTCGATTCACGCTTTGGCGCCATGAACATCTCCGCCCCTTATAGCAACGGTTATGCCTCGCCCGATTCACCACCACTCGTGAAAGAAGCTATACCCATGACTGAAAGCCAAAAGGCCGGAGAAGGTCATGACCCTCAGATTCCGTACTCGCCTCCCTCATCCGGAGGAACCATCCCCGCACACCATGCCTACTTGCCTCCTCAATATACACCTCGCTCAAGGACTTCTCTTTCCCCTGTCCATCGCTCCTCAAAATCCTCATCACAACCACTACCACCTGCACCCTACCCACAACGCTCTCCTTCCAGCAACGGGTCAACCGCAGTACCCTCATCCGTAACATCACCAGTCTCCATATTGAGCAGGACGAGCTCAAGGGGCACCGGCCCCTCCTTACCTCCAAGACCCTCCCCCCACCAACCCTCACCCTCACAATTCTCCCTGGGTCGAGATCTCACTGCGGGGCGGGAAAACGCGGGCAGCTCACGGCAGATCTCCGGCCCTATGACCAATGTAGGAAGGCGACCTGAGGGTCTAGGCTTGAGTATCCCTTCGCAGCCGCGGGTCGAAAAGAGGAGCCCCGTGAAGAATAGCCCCGACTGGAAGCGTCTCAGCGATTCGGACAGTGATAATTTGTGGTAGAACCTTTATTTCGTTTATTGGCGGACTATCCATCTCTTTTGTCATGCCTGGCGCAGGGGAGTTTTTTCCCTCTAACATAGGGAGTTAGGAGTTCAGGGAAGGGAGTGGAATTGTCTTCTCTCGTCTTTTCAAGGTGTTGTCTCAAAGAAAGTCGCTCCTTTAGATACCCATGATTGAATAGTGTGGACAGTTGGGATATATGAATACTGGGAAGGCCGAAAGGTAGATTTGTGATTGCATGCATACTTGGAAATTATGATTCTTGATATATATTTATATACTTATTTTATTAATCAGGAAAAATTGACCATATAGATCCATTCATCCATTCCATCATGCTTCATCACGTGTTTGTACAAGCTGTAGCGCCCTGCGCATAGAACCCCGAAGAGATTAATATCCATGAAATGAGAAATATGGGGAGATATGGACAGCGGAGTAGTTACGTCGTGTCTTGAGATCGCACGCGTAGTAGATGAGGGTATATACCGAGTATAAGAAAAAAAAAGGATTTCATCGGACAGGGAGTAGCCACCATTATCATTAATTCCTCCATACAAGCCGAAGCGTCTAGCCGCCTGCAGGGACGCATTCGAGGTGTGCATACCCTACACCGCACGTCCCGACTTCACGTCTTCTGCCGTGAGGTTAGACCTCCCATCACCTGGGTGGTGTAACAGAGGTGCGGGATTAGCTATCCAGCCCTTCGCATCGCCGCCGCCGCCACCGCCGCCACCGCCAACACCGACCACCATCTCGATTATCTCGGGGCTCTCCTCCTCGGGCGAGAGCGGCGGTTTCCTATCGCGCGGCCACTCGTGCGCTCTGCTAGGTCCCACGATCGGCGTGCTCGGACTCGCGTGCTGGCTCTGGTACGGACTGAAGTTAAATTTCTCGCGCTGCGCCGTCTCAGGAGACGTCGGGTATCCCCAGGCTGTGGCGAAGGGGCGCTGGCTCTGCGGGCTGTCGAAGAAGCCGCCGGAGCCGCCGCTGATGCTCGACATGTTGCCCTGTTGAGGCTTCCACTCGTAGCCGCTGAGGCGGGCCTTCTCGGCCAGGTAACGACGGCGCCGACGCTTGCCGTTCCAGATGATGCAGCATCCTGAGGTTACGAGGACGAAGATGATGGCACCGACGGAGATGCCGATCTTGGCTCCGAGCGAGAGGCCATTGGAGAAGCCGTTATCGTAGGGGAGAGAGGACGGCGAGGGTGTTGTGATATTGACTGGAATAGTGGAGAAGGGGCTGCCTTGGATGGAGAGGGTAGTCCCTAGAGCGGGCTCTTGGATACAAGCTGCCTCCAGGATGGTCACGACTGGGAATCGTTGTCAGCTAAAATATACTACAAATTCGAGCTCGCCCCAGGTTTTCCCAGAAACGAGTGATGAGGGAAAGGCTTACAATTGGAAAGGTAGCTATTATGGCCTGTCTCCGATAGGCAAGCAGAGCATTTGGGTTCCGATATGCCATTGTAAGTTGGGCAGTATGAGTAGGGACTGGCGCTCGTATTGAGCCCATCAGTCTCAAATGAAACTTGCAGCGGAGCACAGGAAAAGCTATAAACACGCCATGTCAATAACCTTTCTCTCCTGCTCAGAAAAGGGGGGGGTTCAAACCTCGTTAGACAAGGAGTATCGCTAATAGCAGTATTGTTGTCAAAACCGAATAAGCACCACGCCAGTGCATATCGAAAATTATACAGAGCTGCTTGCAAATCCGACTGGTTTGTCTTGGGATCGAAATAAGTGCTGCTTAATTCGCAACTTAGACAGGACTGGAATGTTGCACCGTACGTAGCAGACCCGTAGTCCGCATCATCGCAGGTGATTTCCGCGCCGCTCGTGCTAGAGAGAACATTGCCGCATTGTGCTGCACACTGTGGAGAGGACGGGACCACAAGCAAAGCCCTTGAGAGCGTGGGGAGGAGAAGGCTGAGAGCAAGTGAAAGGGAACGCATTGTCCTTTTGAGGCGCGCCGTGCACCGTGCCTATCGAGGTCGGTGCCAAGCGATAAGCCCAAAGGTCCTATGCCCCTCCCGCAAGCCAAGAGATCAGTTGGCAAAGACAACAAACTGCGAGCAAGGAAACCTTCGACCGTGCTAGATATGTGTCTTCGAGAGTGTCTGGACGCCTCGGGGTAAGAGTGGAAACATGGGGTATGAACGAGCAGGACCACTACCATCAAGTCTCAAATCTCGAAAGACTTGGTGAGAGAACGCCACTTTACATATACTCTCTGTACCACACTCGTAAATCCGCCTCTTGATCCTGCACATGGACCATGCACCATGGGTGCAATCACAAAAGGCTAACTCGGTTGGAATCGTTCACCCCTCAAGAGACCCCAGCCAAGGCCGTGCCGCCGCTTGATTGGCGATCATGATGCTTGCTCCGGATCATGCCCGCCCCTCTACGACCGCGCCCGCCGAATTAATTGGACCGTTTGGGCTCCCACGAGCATGCTACTGTGTGCACCTTTCCAGGATTCGAGAATTGCCGGGGAAGGCCGCAGGACGGGCGGCCCGCGAATGCTCTGTATGGTGTGAATGGCCCATGCAGCGTGACAAGGTGCATCGCGATCCATATTGTGTCTCTTCAGGCCCTGCGCAGTACAACTATCACAATGCCTCGAGCTGTTGCGGCGCCTGTTAGATGGTGATACGGATTCTAGTTGGAAGCCAAACCGTGGAGACGGGCGTGTCACCGTCGATTTGGAAAAGCGATATCTGGTCGAAAGGACCACTTACTGCTCTGTTATATGGGCGTGTGGCACTTGAGACCGGCTTCTGTTGAGACATTGTCTGGAAGGGCCAATATGCAAGGAGAAGAAAGCCCACGGAGACTGGGACTTCCATTAGTTATTGTTCGTAGATGAGCTGAGACTCATGGGAAATGGAATTCCGGATCCCGAACGATGATAATGATAAGGGAGACGAAATGCGAAATAGGGTCATCACGTGTGTTTTGCATATCAAGGGAGATTGGGAACCGAAGATTGAGAGTTCCCAAGAAGATGTTTACGAGGCCAATAACCGAATATATTATTCACGTTATCTACCTATCATGCAGATGCCCTTTAAACTGTGAAAGTCCTCTTCTCTGTTCAAATCACGTGATACTGTACCCGTGCTACAGAAGTTTTGTTGCATATCGCATTCATGGTAAGCCTGATATTGCTGAGGGCCGGTTTCAACAGCAGTAGGATTAGCATCACATGATATTAGGGCGTTTTGTTGCACATCGCACTGACGACAAGCTCGAAAGTGTTGACCGGGGGGTTGATGGCGATATGATTAGCATCACGTGATTCACAACACCGACAGAAGGTGGAATCCATTAACTCTCTAGGTCGTTTGTGTCTCTTTCGCTAGACCACTGGTGCCAGAACCAGGTCTTCTTCGTAAAGTCGTCGTGTACGACTTGTCATCCGCGCGTTTTAGCAATTGACATCTGGAAGGTGAGAGAAGCTACCTAGGTAGAAGTAGAGCCCTCGAACTATGTTCAGGGACACCTGATTCAAAAGTTTCATCAAGAGTTCTAGCTGTTCTCTTGGCCCTGGGACGAAGTATTCGGATCAGCAGACTTTAGTCGGAAGACGAGGTTGGTTTGTGAAGGCTCATCGGTGTCGACAACTAGGAGTTCTTTCTCGCCTCGTCCTAGTACGCCATACACTGTCACCTCCCCCTGGTGAATACCCAAAACACAACTAGTGCCTGCGTAGACAGTCTCCTCTTCGACTCCGGTTCGATTGGCAAGAACAACAATAACTTCGCCTTCGGTATTCTTTCGGATGATAGGTTCGAGCCTTGCTAGCCAATATGTCAAAGTTTCCATATCCGGCTCATCCGGAATTCGGTGGAAAGATTGGGCGTCCTCATGTGTAAGCCAGGCCATAGACATAACCACAAGGTTAGCCTTCTTATTAAGAACGTGATTGGCAAATTCACAGGTATTCCAGGGTGTTTGGAATTTATATGGACTTGGGACTCAGTCAGTCGAGTTTAAGAACATGGGTTGTTGAGCCCAACTTACTTCAAATCCATGCCTAAGGATTTCCAGTCAGCAAATGCTCAATTGTTAGGGTATCAAATATGAATGTGTATGCTTCAACTCATGGTCGGCTACTCACAAATCCCCATTGCTGTGTTCCCCAGTCCTTCTATCTCACCGTTAAAGAAACCAGGACCTTCCAGGGCCCACGTCTCGTCAGTGTAATATAAGAAAGATTTTCTGTAATTAGCGACAGTTTCTCCATTGGAGTTGGCTATTATAGCTGCGTTGTAGTACTCTGGTGGTTTCGAATCGACCTTCTCAGGATATCCAACAGCAACTACGCAGTCATACTTCGAAGCAGTAGCTTTAGCCCAGATTGAAGTGGTCCCAGAAGTGGTCGGTTCAAGGTATGGTGTAATATGCTGCAGTGACTTGAAGTTGTACCCTGAGATTATTAGCAGGATTCCTTTTGAGCAGTAAGATGACTCGTTCTGGATCGTATCTTCTCTGCTCCTTCATTCAAAAAGAGCCGACTAGTTCAATTTGACCGTGAAGAAGCTCCAATATTCCAGTAACAACGTAAAAATATGGTGTGTTCAGACTTACCAGAGAATGCCATCTCCGGCAAGACCAAAAGATCTAAGTCCTTGGGATTCGCCTTGGCAAGAACGGCATCTGCCCGGTTCAGATTGTTCTCGACGTCCCCGACCTGAGGGGCAAACTATATCTTATGTCAGGACTAGAGGGGGCTCTCAGTTGGCAGTTCACATACCTGAAGACAACCGATTCTCATCGTTGTAGAGGGCTAATAGCACCCGCACTTGAAAGAGACTTTTACTAGGGGATGAGAGATAGGTCGCAAAGCTTGCCGACACGTTGGTTCAACGCAAAGTTGAAACTCCGAATGGTTTTCCCTACAGCCACTTCTATGCTTCTAACGATGAGCACATAAACCGATAATCGATAGCGAGCAGGCGTGGGCTAACAAAGATATGGAGGGGACTTCGTTGTCATGCTGTTTGGCGGGTTTATCTATCTCGATGGCAATATTCACATCACACCCATCGCATTGACAGGAAGAAGCCTGGGACTGGTCAGTCCACGTGATATTTCAAGAATTTGGGAGTCTCTTACCAGTGCAATCGTGTACGGATGAGGTTGTGTCCTTCAGATATTCTGGACGGATTACGAAGCCGCTTATTGCAGTCTCATTCAACGTTATTCAACGCTTCATTTCTGGATTGGAATGAGTTGGTGTTTACGAGACGAACGAGACTCTCACACGAACGTAAGTATTATAAAGCGCTGGAAATAACGAGAGAGTTCCGTCAATTTCGTTCACTCATCATTGGTGTTGACCCCCGCAAAACGTTCACGGGGACCTGTACAGTACTGGTCTGCTAATATGACGAACAATTGATGTTGAGGGAGGGGAGCCAGTGATGAGTTCTTGTACAATTGTTTTCTAGAAGATCTACCCCTCGTCGAACGAGTCAACTCGAAAATTATTCTGGTGGACCTTCGGCCGTCCTGTGGGTTGGGAACTTGGGAAGTTGGGAGTTTCGACGGTGTGCGTTGAGCAATAGAACGAGGTTTCTCCGACGAGGTATAATAAGACACCGACGTAAATAGAACAATATATTTGGGTGTCTATATCAAATTCGCTAATATTGGCCCTAAATCTAAGCGATGCGGCTGGTATATTTCCTTCCGAAAGAACAACTCTCAATAAAATTCCTTCTTCCAAATTCCACTCCGCAAGCTTTCAAAGCTTCGTTGCAAAGCTTTGTAACGACTCTCGATTCCATCATGTCTGCTACTGCCATGGATATGTTCTGGCATGCTCCTCCTCTCTCTAGGTACGTCCGTCCCATAGCAGCTTCCATCACATCATATGATGCTGATGCTGACGGATCTAGTATAGGACTTTGACGGCTGCTCTCTTGACTCTCTCCATCTTGGTCCATACCTCCATCCTGCCTATTAGATATGTTGTCTTCTATATTCCATATCTGCAGGAGTCCCCGTATCAGTTATGGCGTATCTTTACGTCGTTTCTCATAACAGGTCCAAAGCTTGGAATCCTCTTCGACACATACTTCTGTCAGTACTGCGAGTCCTGGCGGCACCACTCGGAAGTGGTTTTCTGACTCAGTGTATAGTGTACACACACGGGAGCAAGCTTGAGACGTCATCTCCTAGGTTCTCTAAACCAGGGGAGTTCTTTACATATGTTGCGTTCCTCTGGGTCACAATCTTGGTAGGCACTTTTCTTTTCTTTTCTTTTTTCGTTCTGTTCTGCATACCATTTCATTTACACCTCACATTATCTGCCCGCATAGTGCAATTCTCCCAACTATCGCGGTTCCTGGAAATGAGGAAGATTACCCCTGCTCTTCGGCTGGCCCATCATTCGCAATCAATCCAAAAGGGCCAGTTCGCGGTGTAGGCATGGTGGGAAGTTCCTTTGAGAAAACCTGTGTCGATTCTTCAACTTCGCTCGGGTGGTTGTGGCTCCCTACATTTCATTAAATAGTCAAAGCTATCTTGTTTGGTGAAAAAGTCTCCCAAGGGCTTGCAATCATCTAACAAATTCGAATAGGGCTTAAATGTGCTCTTCACTGGAGGGTATATGTTTACCGAGGCCCTGATACTTGCCTTTGTGTACACGTCCAGCCAAGACGACCGCGGCCAGAAGGCAAATCTCTTCTTCATCACAATGCCGGCACCGTGGCTCCCATTCGCAATGATTCTTGTGACACTTGTAACGTCAGGGCTGGATGCAGCAATAATCCAAGGTACGGGCCTCATTGCTGCCCATCTGCATGATTTCCTGACCCGTATCTGGCCAACGTTTGGTGGCGGGAGAAACCTGCTTCCAGCACCCGACTTTGTCAAGAGGTGGTCCATGGTCTTGGACAACCATACCACTGCCTCGGCCCCTACTGGATCGGCTTCAGCTTCCGGCTCTTCTGCCGGCAATGTCTTGCCAGAGTCTTGGAGAAACAGGGGATCAGGGCACAGACTTGGAGGAGATTAAGTCTGATGATAAGATGCACTGTATATTATAATTAATATCAATTTGACTTGAATGAATATGATAAGTCCTGATACTTTGTGATATTAGCACTTGGTCGAATACGACCACAGGATTCTCACACTCCTTCCTGACTACCTTAGTATCCAAATGCTACTTGCTAAAGGTACCTTAGGTAGCAAGTGGCAAGCGGCTTCGTCGGAATCCGATTTATGTTACGGTCGCTAATTAGCGGCAATTACGCTGAAGAAGCAGAACTACAGTACTCCGGCCTCCACCTCCCTAATAAAAGCTCCAATTACTGAGATGATGTGAGTAATTCAGTGTAAATCGCAGGCTGCGATGTGCAACAAAATCCATCGCCCTTATCTTACCTCATCTCGCCCACTCAACATCACCTCGTTCGCTCACACAACTCCGCGAAGTCCGATAGATGATGGATGATGTGTGTATGCTATCTATAGCGTCTCTTTATGCATTTACAGTTAAGGTGAAAAATCTATGTACAGTAACGCCAGGTCGTCGTTTTTTGTGTGAAAAAAAATGGCTTTGGCAAAAGCAGTCAAGACCAGCTCCTGCCAGGCGATGCCACGCCAAAGCCATGCAAGTCTAGAAAGTAAAGTTTATGGGTATCACGAAAGTAAGTTTTCCTCTGTCTCTCTCTCTCTTCTCTTTCTCTTCTCTCCTCGTCTCGTCGCATCGCACAACTTCTAGAACATCTCCGGCGTCGCGCCCAACGAGCCTCTTGTCGATCGCCGGCTGGCAGTCCCGCACTGTCCAGGGTACTTGCGGCTGGTGACGGGGTTCGGGATGGCGCCGTTCTGGAGGCCGTTCAGGAAGCCCCAGCCGCCGGGGCCCTTGGCCGCCCACACGAAGTAGCCGCTGGTGCTGGATTCGAAGACGTCCATCTGTGCCTCGACGTAGCGGCGCACCTGCTCGATCATGTTGCTGTTCCAGCCCGAGATGTCGCCCGTTTGGCACTGGCACCCCGAGACCGAGCAGCTGTATCCCGCGGTCGTCGAGCCGTCGGGGTTGACGCAGATGTTGGTCGCGGGGGACCATTCGCCTACATAGGTTGGCATGATGGCGTTGGCGGTCGCGAGGTTGGCTGCCCAGCCGCAGGCTTCGGTGATGTGCTGCTCTTGCGTAAGGGAATTGTCTGAGTCGCTGTACACCTGGTACAGATGCGTATCCACACCGAAGTTCTTTGCGCCGCCACTGATCAGTTCTTCGGCGATGGATGTCCAGGCAAGAGGGCCTTGGAAGGAATCGTGCATGACAATCACGAGGTTCTCGTTTGCCACTTCGGCTTTGACTGCGGAGTATGCTTCTTGGGCCCAGGACTGAGTGACGGAGAACTGGTTGTTACCCCAGCTGATGGGCTCGTTGGTGAGTTCGAGTCCGACCACTACATCGGCATATTGCATGGCCCCATATTTGGCGGCCATGGTCTTGAGGACGGAGATCGACTGCTGCAAGTTGTTGCTCTCCTGCCACGCGACGTTTCCAGCGTGGCCGGAGTTATCAAATCCGTTCTGGCTTCCAGGAGAACCATGACAATCAATCCAGACCTTCATACCATAGGTTCTCGCCCATTCAATAGCCTGCTCGAGGTATTGATCAGCGCCTTGAATATACGGCGTGTTGGTGTTGTCATAGGCCCAATATCCGATAGGAATACGAAGAGCATTGATTCCGGCTGATGCAAGGGTCTGAATGTCGGATTCCGTGATGAAGGTAGACCAGTGTTGTTCCAGCGCCTCCTTTGCGCCGGGTAAGGAATCGAAGGACCACTGGTCAGAAGCGCTGGAGAATTGACCAGTGAATACATCGGAGTCCATCCATGATTCAAGGACTAGCCATCCTCCCAAGTTGACTCCCCGGAGGAAGGGAATGCCGGTGCTTGTAGGAGTCGGAGTTGGTGTTGAGGAGCTGCTAGACCAGGCTGGGCTGCTAGACCACCAGACTGAAGTGCTGGTCGAAGTTGAAGAGAAAGATGAAGAGGTGGAAGACGTCGTCCAAGTGGAAGACGGCTTCCAAGTGGAAGATGGCTTCCAAGTAGAAGACGGCGTCCAAGAGGTGGACGTTGAGGTAGACGAGGTCGTCGAGGAGACAGTTGAAAACGTAGTTGGCGTCGCTGAAGGGACGGTTGAAAATGCAGTTGAGTTTGCTGAAGATGCTGTGGTTTGGGAGGCAAATGACGAGGAACCAGTACCGGGAAATCCAGTGCCATGGCCATAAGTCCCATTGGCATGAGTGCTGTTGGGGTGGTGATGGTGATGGTGGTGGCCAGTGGGGTAAGCATATCCACTGCCAGTTGCGACTCCGGGGTAGAAGACACCAGAGACGGTGCCTACTGGCATGGGAAGGACAGTGACGGTGCTCATGACCACGGTTGGTGCAGTGGCCTCAACGGCGCCGCTGCTACCTTCTTGGAGGACATCCCCTGGGTATGGGAGAGGTGTTGACGTGCTCACCGTCACTGTGGGTGCGGCGACCTCGACCTTTGCGCCAGTGTTCTCAGCGGCCGACACCGACACGTCTGAAGGAGCGCTCGCATCCGCGGTTACTGTAACCATGATAACGGTGGGTGCCTCGCACACATCTGTCCGTTTATGTCGTCGAGCGGATATAGGGTTTGAGAGGAGGAGTATGGCCATCAAGGCCGCTGGCAAGGAATTGCGCATTTTTGATATTGGATCTGGAGGAAGAATTGAGGGAAATTCTAGGGAAAGCCTTGCGCTTTTTAAGAATGATCCTGAACGGTGCTACCGTGTAAAATAAAGGCCCAGCCTTTGGAAAAATAAGGAACGACTTCTTCGAGGGTTGTGAGGTTGGAGATGCTATTCCCACAAGATCATTTGAGGCGGGAGCCTTATCGGTGAGGCTGGGTAGCCTGAGTTGGGGACCTCCCGGTGTTTTCTTCACGCGGTGTCCAAGGTCAAGCCAAGTCTGGAAAGGAACGTGGACGAAAAGTCCCTGGCGTTGTACCGGACAATTCGATAGCGGGCTCGAGTCAGCTGTGGGAAAAATGGGCGGCGGGCAGACGCGGGCGGAGTGGGGTTCGGGAAGAGGCTCGGAACGCGAGATATCTCTGGCTCAGCAGAAGAAGAAGGGAATGTGAATTGCAAAAGACGGAGCAAAAAGGAATGAATCAACGACGACACAGCGACGAAGGAATTTAAGTAGAAGAACAGGAGGATGTTGAAGGAGCGAGGTAGCTCTTGGGGGTAGAAGAACTACATATGCATCCAGGAGGCGACGAAGAGGCGCGCACGGCTGTGTAGGGGACCCCAGTGCGACTACGCAGGTATCTTGCTCGCTAGTCCGTATCGGGCCGTAGAGTCTAAGAGTCCCATGTAGCCGCAGGTGAAACAATTGCAGCAGGGCCACCGCGCGGTCTGATTGGGCAGCCGGGCGTTCTAGCTCGTGGTTAAGCTCTCGGGGTAGCCAGGCGGCGCTGGAGCGGACAGACGCAGGGATATGCAGAAAGGGACACGGGCCGGTCTTATTGGGCGTGTGTTTGTGAGGGCTCGATGAAACAAAAGCCATATGCAAACAGAGCTGAGCCCCTGAACCCCTGCGCCGAAGCGACGAATGGGACAAACGAGTGTGTGGTTCTGGACTGTAATCCCCACGACAGACCACTGTTACACATAGGAGTACATATGGGGTATATCACCTACTATAAGCATATTAGGGATTGCGTACGGGCTGCGTACTGTGTACAATCTCCCGCACATACATTGGGCCGGATCTCAGGTATTCCGTACACAACACGCTCAGTCCAGACTCCAGATTCCTCGTTAGTCAGGGGCACGCATGAACAAGGCAAATTTGTTCAAAATTGCCCAAAACCCCGACTCGTCCGTCCCCTCGCTCACGGCCCCCCAGGCTGTGCAGGATAGAAAAGAAAAAAAGAAAAAAAAAAAAGACTGGGCTCTTCTGTATGAGAGTTATGGAGCAGCGGGGCGATCGGATTGCGGTGTGAAGAATCCGGGATGCAGCGGTACAGTAGCCTTCAAGATACCGCATCACAAACCAACCCAACGCCGCGGGCAGGGAAGAAGCTGGTCGAAGCGCTGGGTAAAGGCGCACAGTTCAGCGGCTCAGCGGTGGCTCAGCCCCTATTCTACCGCACGTGATTCTCTCCCTTCTACCTATTTTTGTCACGGCTTCTCTTCAAGTTTTATTATTAGAAGAAGATATACTCCCTAGTTATAGAGAGTGCCTGACACAATAATGGAGAAGATCACAGGTGAAGTAAGTGATCGCTGTGGACTGGCTCCACAGCACATCCCTCGAGAAGACGACGTCTTCTTCCTTCGTTTGAGAGCGACGTGAAAGTGTGCGAGGGCAATCCTTCAACTTCCTTCTCGGTATCTGTTGTTGTAGATCTTCGTCCCTAGACTGATTTAATTCTGGTTTATATATGGCAATGGGATTATAGGGTTGATAGCGGTTCCAATGGAGCAAAGACTCATCACATGGTGCGACCAGCTCTGCTTCTCTTCCTCGGGCCTCAAGCATGTGAGAGACTGCAACCAAACTCGATGCTGTCGGGGTTGAGAGACCAGTAATAAGGGAGGCATGGCAGTTCAGAGGACCGTTGGGAAGACCTTGCAAGTGCTTTCATATTCTCTGGCTGCAAGTACCTTACGCTACCGAATCTCAAGCCTGTCTCATATCCATTCCTCACAACTTTCCAGAATGTTCACAAGTGTAACAAGACCCAGGGATTCGGGTTTTTGCACTCGGGGCCGTTGTTGGCTTATCCATGTATTACGAGCAGCCAGACGTACTCGGCCTATTCGAATTACCAGTGTGATATCACATCCCCTTCTGAGATGCTGTATGAGCGATACTACTACCCTTCCACCCAGCAATCAAAGCCAGTCCCATTCAAAGTCCGATCTATCACCACCCTTTTCCTTGTCCCTCGGATCTCTCCTCTCTTCCAACCTCTCTTCCATCATCTCCTGCATCCTCTCCCTCGCCGCCCGTTCCCTATCCGCACGCTCCCTTACCGCACGATCCCTCTCCGCACGTGCCCTATCCGCTCGATCGATAGCCATTTGCGAGCTCTCAGCCTCCTCAACGACGGAAGGCTGAACAACCGAAGGCACTCCCCATTGATCTCTACTATACACCGAGCTAGCTCTTCTATAGCTGGCGGGCGGACTCATGGGGAGCACGCCTTCCAGGTAATTCAGCGTGTTTTCTCTCTGTCTGTTGAGCGTCTCCTCGTCAATCGACTCTTCTTCTTGTATGGTACTCTGATCATCCCCTTCATCGAGGCCTCGCTCGCTCATATATGTCCAGTTATTCATCACCAGGGGATCAGAGCGAACCGTGCGCGAAGCTTCACCTCTCCCTCTTGGCAGCGTGGTTGGGGCGGCAGTAGAAGCACTCCTCTTGACGATTCGCAGAGGTTCGGGCGTGAGCGCTCTTCCCGGATCAGGGCCCTGCGGCTTGGAAATTCGGAGAGAGGGCCGCGCGAGCTGGTCAAAGGGAAGATGATTGTTTAGAGCGGTCTCGTAGAATACTTTCCGTGTCCCATCGTACGTCTGGGTTCGTTCCCCGGCGGGACTGTCAGCATCTGGTCGTGGTGAAGGCATGTCTCTCGCGATCCCCTCCTCCGCCTCGTCCCCGCCTGGAGATAAACTCCGCATAACCTCGAGCACAGACTCGGATATGGAAGCTGGTCTTTCGGGCCGTGGTGGCTGATAGCCGGGGATTCGAAATGGCGAGCGGGGCGGGATTGGCGGAGGGGGAGGATCATTGATCTCTTCGGCTTCTTGGGTTGTCTCTTGTTGTCGAGGGGCCTCGGCCGCTGCTTCGTTGCAAATTGATCTACCTCCCTCCGCCGTAGCAAGACCGCCTACCATCGGGTACCCTCCGGTATCCTTTGAGGATTTGCGTCGAGCTCTCCAGATGAAGAAAGCTATGCATCCTATGAGAATGACTACCAGCGGGACAAGCACTCCGACGACGATGGCCGTGGTCTTGGAAGCGGTCGATTGGTGCACGATGGTATTATTGGCTGCCGTTGACTGAGTTGGAGACAGACTCAAGCTCGTGCTTCCGGATGTGCTCTCTAGTGACTGGGTTGGAGACGGATTCAAGCTCGTACTTGCGGATGTGCTCGTTATTGATTGAGTCGGAGACAGACTCAAGCTCGTACTTGCTGTTGTGCTCTCTATCGATTGAGTTCGAGACATCGTCAAGCTGGAGCTCGCCGATGGGCTCTCGGTGCTAGACGCCCTCGAGGTATCGCTAACCGTCACGAAGTCCGAAGACGTCGATCTGGCTACCGTTCTACAAGGGGCTCAAGTCAGTCTCTTGAATCCTCCATGGGGAAGCAGCAACTAGAGAACGTACGTTGATGTAGACCGAGACGGACTCGGGGTGGAATTGATAACGTTCGACTCTGTTACTAGCAACGTCGTGCTGCCCTCGGGATACACGTCGATGGTCCATGTTGTGCTGACGTGCACGGGTGGAGGGGTTATTATGATGATAGAAACAGATGTGACGAAGGTTGTGGAATCGTAGGTGATTACTGTGATAACCGCCATAATTCACAGCGAGGAAAGAAAGGAAGGAAGAAAGAAAGAAAGAAAGAAGAAGATCCCTGGAAGGTGATAGAGGATCGTCTCGGGATCTTGACAGGCCCAAGGAGCAGATTTCGTGTCCCCGGGAGAAAGAAACTGCCGAGTATTGCAGCTTGGCAGCAAGATCTCGAAGAGCGGCGACGGGGACAGTGAAACACTACTCCTGAGATATAGCTCGGCGGGACAACTGGGTAAGAGAGGCTGTTGACTCGAAGGGATGTGGCGTGGAGGACGAGGCGAATTGGAGAGATCAGAGCAGTAGAGCAGTAGCGACAAAGCTGCCGCTCCGCCGCTATGATCCTCTTCCAAAGCCTTGGTACTGATGGGGTGTTTGAAGAGAGTTGTCTGGCACTTGATATCAAGCTTTGAGAAAGAGAGCTTCAAGGAGGCTACTCTATTCAAAGAGACAACAGTGAATCAATAAAAACTCCTATTCTCATCCTCTTTCGATTCATTAATCATCTCTGACATTTTAGAAAACAATATTGCACGAAGGTGGTTGTGCTGACCCTTCGTTGTTATGTGCCGCTTGCACACTGGTGGTGCGGCTTGTACGTTGAGTTGTGTTCGAAACTTTTCCGTACCCAACTTCAGTTTCTGGCTCAGAACGGACAATTACATGCAAGTATGGGAAAGCATTTTACGGAGATCAATCACAACCTTCATCTTTGGAAGAGTAATTGTTGGCAAGCGGATCAATATTATCCCCAAACTGTTGGCTGCTATAGCTCAATAGAAGCCAAAGGACCCCCTAAAAACGCCAAGTCCTCGATTTCTCCTTCCACACTTCGCAATCTAAAAAGTCCCCAAGAACCAGGAAATGAAAACTCAGAGTCTTGCAGAAGCCTCTTCCCCTAGATGCTCGTTCTGGGTGTATCATTCTTTTCTGAATATGAAAACTACTAAGTGTTTGGATTTCCTTTTCTGCATTTCCGCTTTTTTCACCACCTCCTAAAAGACTAAGCTGGAGTAACTAAACCTCTCATCTATCAATATGCACTTGATATCAAAAACCAGATATGATTTATCCATCCATATCCTGATTGAATCCCATATTCCGTATCTGATATTTTCTTTAGAAGAAACGCCACAAGACATAATATGCGTAAACGATACTCCTCCTGACGCGGAGTTTAAGCGAGATAGAAAGGGGCGCATGTACTGTAGAAGCAGCTGCTTGATTTCTGTGGGGGGTAAGAGGAACGGGAATAAGATGCAGGTACGCATGTAAAGAGTAGGAGCAGCGCGGGAATGGCTATGAATCCCGGCACATCTTGTGCGAGTACTCGATTGGTAGGAATTCCTCAACTTATCGGATATCAGGTTATTGCTTGTTGGCTCAACCATCGAGGTCAACACATCTCGCGAAGACCAAGTTCTGGAATCACTTTTCATTTTGGTCCCCATTTTGCTGTTGTATAATACAATGCAGAGAGCAATCAATAACGCCGGGTGCTATGCCCTTACCGAATCCCCCAATAGCTTCATGTATTAACAGACCACCGCGTCATCGCCGGATCTTCAATCATCTTTCGGCTCCGGGCTCTGTGATCCCTTATCGTTCCCATTCACTTCACCATTCGCATCATCATCTTCATCGTCTTGTGCATCTTCCTTCCCATACGGGTATTCCCTGTAGATATCCCTTGCGGCTTTCATGTCATCCGTAGGATCCTCAACCCGCATATCCACGAAATCTGTTTTCTTCTCTTCCTCGTCCGGATTCGTAAGCCCAAGCCGGTGCTTGTGGATATTTTTTGTCCTCTGTGGACGGATCGCGGTCCTTTGGAGAATAGGGTAGTAATACGCGGCTTTTTGGTGAAGACCGTCGGACCCGTCATGAATAGCAATCATCACCTCGTCGTCGTACTTGTCGTGAACTGATCCCGTCTGAGAAGCGCTCTCATAAGCACGGATTCTCTTGAAGCGGAAACAACCATTGCCACTGCCGTTCGTGCTGGTATAGAGCGCTTCCTCATCTTTCTCCGAATCTAATGCGTCGAATTTCCGCTTGAACTTCGAGGCTTCTTCAGGCGTCTCGGTAAGGAAGAATTCGTATTCAATAGTCTCATCGGGAGGAGGGTTCCGCTCTGGGTCAAGCTCGTGTGCTTGTTTGGCTGCATCTTTTGCCATTTGCTCCTCCTCCGTTGGCGGTACCGGCCGTAACAAGCTGTGTTCGAGACGGACGTCATAAGTTGAGCTTGGAGGTACCGGATTGGTCAAGAATTTGATTGTGATATATCCTCCAGCATCAGTGAATGCATCGAGGTCAGGTAGAAGAGGGTAAGAAGCCTGAAGCTTCAGATTTGGGTTTGAGGGGTGTCGAATTGTCTTGGTCCCCTTCAGGTTATCTGCGGCTACTTCGAAACTCTTCTCAACCTGGTTCTTAATGAATTCAGGTGATTCCTTATCGACGTTTGTTGGGGGCCGCTTAAAGCGATGTCCAGTATTGTCAATCAAGGATCTTGATGTAGTAGACTCAAAGCGCGATTTTGATGTGTAGGATGAGATGTATTCAGTACGTCGAAGGAAGGAGACACCAGAGTCCGAGAACTTGGGCTTGCCGAGGGTTGATAATGGTCGAAGTAGTGCACGGTCATGAGGATGAGGAGCTGGTGGATGTAACGGAGCTTGGATGGCTATAGAAGCAGATATGAGTGTTTGCGCAAACATCTGAGCGAACAATTCTTCACTTACAACTCTCATCGCCATCAAAGATTCCTGGCATGCCCACCAGATCTAATGGCATTCCAAGCTCTGCATCTGCTTCAATATTGAGCGGTTGTTCTCGCGCAAGTCGCGATGCAAACCCAGGCGTTGTGTATTGGCCGCTCGCAAGACCGGTATTGGGGATGTCGAGGAGCTTCGGGGGATTTGGGGGAGGTGGTAAGGCATTGGAGTATCGAATTCGTGCGATATAGTCTTGATGAATCGTGCGCTCAACGCTCCGGGATGAGGAGGATGCCATCTTATTGTTGGAGGGCGTCTCTTGAGTTGGCGTTAGGAATGTCAAGTTGGATATGCCAAAGTTGTCGCGAGGTGGTCGTAGCGCGAACTGCCAGCACTAGCGTCGCTTTTTCCGACGAGGCTGAACTTGCTCCAGTCAACCAACCGAACTACCTATTGTTCTACCTATTGTCCAATTCACTTCAAGTCTGAATGCATAAGTCAGGTAGGTCTAACACCCACTCTTTGCTCTCATTGGTCAATGCATACACTCTCCCCATCCATGGTCCTAAAGCCCGGGCCTGAGGTTGTTCAGGAGAATCCAAAAAGGGCTCGAGGAGAAGCCAAACCAAAAGTCTGCACAAGAAGCCGAAGAAGCCTCCATCACCTCCGCATCGCTTCTAGACGAAATCCAGCCAGAGGTTACAGCTCCCCGTACTCACTGACCAGCTGGCCAAGCAGTTGTACTAACGATCTTTCACACGAGCAAGATCAGCAAAGCAGCAGTCCTCGATTCCCTGAATTTCTACCTCGGTTCGAATAGTCTTTTGGTGCATTTCCCAGGTCAGCGTAAGATCGAGATCAAATACCGTAGTGGCAAGAATGGAGATCTTGACTTATCTGCTTACTGCTCTTGAAGAGAACAAAAGTGGCCGGGAATACCTGGAATACCTTCGTCAATACACGAGGCTTCCTGAATTGACAGTTGATGCTGTGGATTTTCATGAATAGTGCCGGTTAGTAATTCCAACTTCTTCGCGTCTTTCCGTTTATTTTCTTGGATAAATGAATGTGTTGACTTTTACGCTTGATTTATGGAAATAATGACTCAATTTTTCATCATTAGGACCCTTTTTTTGCCATTTGTAGGTGAAGAAAAGGCAAACAAAAATAAGAGAAACGAGATGCCTCAAACCATGTATTCGTGATTAGGTATTCGTCTACTGGACCTCGATATTACCGCCTTGTGCAATCGACTGGGCTGCAAAGTTGCTGTGCCTACACTTTGCTGAACTCCGACCCTGTATAGGATTGTATCTGCGTGAGTCCTTGAGATGGACGGCGATCCGTGCGAGTTGCCTACATGTTTCTAGGAATAGAATGCTCATCTCAATGCCACTTCAGATCAAAAATCTCATATCCACGATATTTGTAAGCGCCTGCGAGCCTACAACAATCGATAGCCCTATACAGAACAATAGCAAAGCGCTTCTAGCTCATGCTTCACTCTATGTCTTGGCGGACAAATGTGGAGTCGATGATTTGAAGCGGTTGACTCTATCCCACCTCCACCAGGCTCTATCCACGCTTCGTCTGCCCACTTGAACCGTCCTGTTCTGACATGCTGCCTGCGGAAGCGAGACTTCCTTGTTACAGTACCCGCTTCAAGCTCTGCTGAAGCTTGTTCAACCACGACTACACGTAATATGCCAGCTCCTTCGGTATCCTCATGCTTCTTAGCTTCATTGGATGGCAAATGGTGAACAAATGGAGAGATAAATGCCATGTGCGTCGGAGACTCAGAGGCTGAAGTTAACTAATCACTTGTCCCTAGTCATTTAGGTGGTTTCCGGCTCGGACCGAGACGACATTTGGTATCGCAAGCGCGCGCTTGCCTATTACCTGGCGACGGCGTAGTGGCTCCCACATATATGCAGCTCAAGTCCATCACATCAAAGCTTCACGCAGAATTAGAGTAGAACTTGTACGGTTCCTACCTAATAAGGCGACTATCTCACTACCTTATACAACGGTACGCAAGCCGGCTAACTAACACCTTTAGCCTTGATGCCGTGACTGGTCTGCAGTAGCGCAACCATGTCTCTGAGCCATCTGAGTACTCTATTCCATCTGGCTCTCTATTCCATCTGAGTACTCTATTTGATAGTACTCACGCTCGTTGCTATATAAATGAGTTGGAATGCAGCGGGACCAGCATGCAGAATTTCTGAGGCGCGTACGTCGACCAATTAGCTTAACTGCGCAGTGAAAGTGGCTGGCTCAGGTAGCATTATTTCGTATGGCCCCCCGTCAGGCTGAAGCAGGAAACGAAATTTGCTTTAGGCTCTTGCTTTGTTCTTGAACATAGATGTTCAATGCGCACGAATGCGTAGAAAACTACCTTAGAAGTTTCGAACTGGCACATCCTCTGCTTTGTCCCGTTCCATCGCAACTCTCCTCAGGTACAATATCATCGTGAGCAACTAAAAGACCACCGCGTCAAGAGCGGTTCGAACAACAGTTTTATAACCGTAGGACCCTCTTTGAACGTCGACATCTGAAGCCGCATATCTTACTTACTCCGCAATGACGACAAAGCCGCTTAACTTGTCTTTCAGTATCCTTGAGCTGACCGAAGGTATGAAAGGTGGCTTGACAGGATAGGCACTGGATATGAGTAGATGATGCTCAGTTCACCCTAGTGGTTTCTGAAAGAGATATCAAAGAGGACAACTCTAATTGATAAAAATTGTGAATTTGCTCTATCGTAACATCACCCGGTGACGCCACCCATAATGCATTCGAGGCTCACAAAGTTGTGGGATTATGAAAGGGGCTTTTGCGACATAATCCATGACCAGCTTTCCAGCTCTGCCCCAACCTTTATTTCCCATCCCTAGGTGCAACAAGAACAGAGAACGTGTCATTAAAGAGCAGTAAGAGTCGCCTATACAGATGTATGTTTTTCACAGTTTTATACAAGTGAACTCGACATCACTGCCCATACCCTCATTCCAAGCATCTTCCTATTTCTCCGGGGTGTCTCCTTCAAGAGCTGTTCTTGTTGTATCTCGCCTTTCCGAATGTGAATGGCACATATCGGTATTTGATCATGTGTTGAATTTGTCTCCGCACTAGTCCCCTCATTAGTACCCATTTACCCCGCATCCCATTGATTGAGAGCACTCACTTGTCAAGGCGAACAAGATCAACCAGTATACCACGAGAACAGGCCAGAACACTGGAACGTCAAAGATCGGAAACCAAGTGCAGAAGAAGGCGATAGCAATGGCTCGAGTAGCTGAGTGCCAGAACTTGAATTCAGGAAGACGGCGAATGAAGGGGCGAAATTCCTCGTCCTGTTTCGTAGGGAGGCCACCTGCTGTGCCATCCTCCATTTCATTGTCTATAGCTTCATTGCTGGGGTCGAATTTGGGTTGGAGGAAGGCGAGAAAGAGGTTCAGTAGATAGATCCCGAGGGAATATGCCACTGCAGACCAAAGCATTAGCCCTGTAAAGCGCACTTTTGAGCTGTAAGGCATACCTATATACCACCCTTGCGCCACAAATATTCTGGTGAAGAAGAGCATTAAAAGAGCAAATGTGCTCAGCCACCGATACGGTACGTAGGGAGTTGACTTGTCAAGCCATGCTTGGTATTGCTACGAACAACCCGTCAGTTGTTGAACTCCACAAAGAGCGCAAAATAAAGAGCCAGTCCACTTTGCATGCTCGACTCACTCTTGTGAATTTGGAGGTTTGCGCCGACACGGCCGCAAAGGGGGTCTGCTCAGGCTCGATGGAATCCATATTTATCCGTCGCGCTCGGCCAATCGCGCAGTTCTTCAGTGCTGGATCGTAATGCGAGAAGGAATCTCAAGGCGAGAGATAGTAAAGGAGCGTCTGTCGTGGGGCGAAATGTCGTCGTCTGCGGTTGAGTCCGTCTCTAGAACACCTTTCAAGTTCGAGGTTCGTTTAGGGGAAGGCGCACTGGCGCGGCCCGTTCATTTCGCCTAGCGCTTCTTCACGTGACTGCTTTGTACCGCCGTACATCGATGCGGCCGCACAGCCGGGTTCCCTCGGTTGAATGATCTATGACGGCGCCGTACCGTAGAAGCTGTTGCTTAAGGTAACTTGCTTGATTTCTAACTTCACTTCTTTCAATTCAAGTTGTCTTTGAATTTCCAACAAGACAATCAACTTCCATTTCCAAGGATCATTTTTGCAATCCACAATGAATACTCTCAGGTCCCTGAGGCCGATTGCCTCTAGATTCTCGAAGCAATCTACCCTCCCCGCTATCACCAGAAGCTTCTCCGCATCGCCAGCTAAATCATACGAATTCATCGAGACTGCCGAACCACGACCAGGAGTCGGGCAAAGTATTTCCTCCTTCTCCTCATCCCTCTCATGATGGGTCCTCGATTCCTATCTAACAAACTCTAGTAACGCTCAACCGCCCCAAGGCCCTCAACGCGCTCTCCACCCCCCTCATCACCGAACTGAATCAAGCTCTGGCCGCATATGATGCCGCCCCCGAAATCCGAGCCATCGTCCTCACCGGCTCGCAAAAGGCCTTTGCAGCAGGCGCAGACATCAAGGAAATGGCCCCTTTGACCTTCAGCAAAGCCTACACAACCTCCTTCATCGAATCATGGTCCGCCTTCACCACCTCCGTCAAGAAGCCCATCATCGCCGCCGTATCAGGCCATGCCTTAGGCGGCGGTTGCGAGCTCGCCCTGATGTGCGATATTCTATACTGCACCGAGAACGCAAATTTCGGCCAGCCGGAAATCAAATTGGGCACAATTCCAGGTGCCGGTGGGAGCCAGAGATTGACGAGAGCTATTGGGAAGTCCCGGGCAATGGAGTTGATTTTGACGGGGAAGAATTTCAGTGGAAAGGAGGCAGTAGAGTGGGGTGTTGCTGCGAGGGCTTTTGGTAGTTGGGAGGAGTTGATTGAGGGTAGTTTGAAAACTGCTGAGGCTATTGCAGCGCACAGTAAGGTAGCTGTCATGGCGGCGAAGGAGGTCGTAAACAAGAGTCAGGATTTGCCGCTTAGGGATGGAGTAGAATATGAGAGGAGAGTCTTCCATAGCTTGTTTGGAAGTGAGGATCAGAAGATAGGCATGAAGGCATTTGCGGAGAAGAAAAAGGCAGAATGGACCGATAAATGAGCAACGGGATCAAGGAAGATTAGTCGAAGCTTTTGAGCCATTTCATATGTACCAGGATGAATGCCAAAAATGTAAAAATTGTATATCATTCCATTGTTCATGGAGTGTCCCATATGCTCCTAATGTCCCTCAACTGGCTAGTCCGATGCCTATGACTTCCTGACAAGAACCAAACGCCCAAAATGTTACCGAGCTCCTATCCCATCGCCCATATCTGAGTCAAAAATACAATCTAGATTTCTTCTTTCGGCACGCCCGCCCATTCATTGCACCAGCCAAACCAACTCCTTTGCAAACACTTTGACCCATGGTCGGGTATATTTGGGGTTATTCTGCCCGGCATAGCAGTAGAGCTAGGCATGGCCGGTGGGGATGTTATAGAATGCGAGAGTGTCTGGGTCGTAGTCAGATCGTTGCATCCCCAAAAGTATCCTGGTGTTTCGCAGCTAGCTGTCGTCGAAGAAAATGATGCCGGGGTGGTCGATGTAGGGTCATTGCAACCAAACCATCCTGGAGTTTTGCAGGTCGTAGTAGCAGTGCTTGTTGGCGAGCTTGGAGTTCTGGTTGCGGTTGCATGTGAGGTGCTACTCGTGGTGGTTGTCGTCTCATCGTTGCATCCAAACCATCCGGGTGTTTTGCATGTGGAGGTCGATGTCGTAGTAGTGGTACTGGTACTAGTCGCAGTCCCAGTGGTCGTCGTAGTTTCATCTAGACATCCCCACCATCCTGGAGTTTGGCATGTAGATGTTCGTGTGTTTGTTCTTGTTGTAGACGTAGTCGCTGTGGTACTCTCACTCTTGTTGCCCGTGACCTCCTTCCATAACGGACAGTCATAGCAATCGGATGTAAATTTACACTCCGGCACCGTTGACCACTTCTTGATGACGTTATCAATTACCCATATGATCTTGTGGCTTAGGACGAAAACTCTGGTTCCATTGGTCCCCACGACATCCCAAACGCATTCTCTACCAGTATGGCATGAAGTCTCCAGCGCATAGCCAGCGTAGGAACATGACGCTGTAGCGCCATTGCAAGTTCCCATAAATATTGGATCTGCATTATTGCCAAAATGAAATGCGCCCGTATAATCCCTCTGGCCAGGTCTGTCGGGATCTACCCCTGGTGGTATAGGAAGCCCAAGTCGACTTGCAGGCAAGGCGTCCGGAACCGCTTGGAAAGTAAGAACGGGTGTGCCGTAAGTCAAGCCCAACATGGCACTGAGCGACCCCCCAAGTGAATGGCCTGATAGCCATACATTGGCATTCGGATAAAGAGCCGTGACGTTGCCATAGAGGTACCTGGCAGCTGCGTAGTATCGATTTTCCTTTGTCAAGCTCTTCTTGAGGCAGGGAAGGTTGCAGGTGTACGTGCCTTCAGCACAGTCACAGACCTGCCGAGCGAGGGTACCAGCCTGCTGTCCACAGCAGCAGCTGAAGAAGAGGTTGTCGTTTTCTTTATCGTTGGTTGTGGTACCCTCGCCATCCCAAATAGCGAGCGTCGTGCCCTTCAGCCCTATAACGACAGTTGAATTCTTCTCGTCAATATAGAGATACCCCCGGAGACCATCGCTATCCCATCCAAATCCTACATCGTCGGTCCTGTTGAATCCTCCATTTACGTCCTTCCAATCCCCGGTATCTGGTTTCTCGACATATGCGTTTGCCGCCATTTGAGCAAAAGTCAATACCGTCTCCTTATCCGTAATATTTGGCCCAGGCACATCATCCATAGTCCATGCCGAGGGAGACAAGGCCCAAACCGAACCTTCCTCTCGTGCTGCCGCGACCATAGGATCCACGACTGACGGCCGTCTGTCCTTTAATCGGTGTATTTTCATGGGGCTCGACTTGACTACCAGTGGCCTGGTTTCTTCCTCCAGGTGCCCATCCTCCGACTCCATCCATACTGCCGAGCCGGATGTCGAGACGTCGAGTCTCTTATGAAGGGTAAGGTCCCGAACCCCGTGGTGGAAGATGTGGCGTAGCGTCTGGATAAGTTAGTATTTTGCTTCCCCAAAGAATGTAGAGAGAGCATACAAATACATGCTCGTTACTCGTAGGCTCCGGGCTTTCTGGCGTGAAGGGAAAGGGGTTCAGCACGGGGAGTAGTGATGGTTGCTGATGTGACGCAGATGCAGCTATCGGAGTCGACAAGGCCAAGAACGAGAGCAAGACTCCAGCCGTCACGGCCGCAGTAGAATGGCATTTTTGAGGGGGCTTCCGCTTCAGAGGCATCTTAGAAGAGGAGGTTATTTACTACTGGCAACAAAACAGGAGGATCGAGACACAGCTGGAGGAAGGGCACGGAGTATTGGCCGCTCACCTCGCATGGACTGCTATCGGTATCACGACGACAGCGGCGGCGGCGCAACTGGAGTCATGTGCGCTGATTCGCCAACGGAGCTGGGCGGCCGAGTCACGGCGCAGTCTGATTGGCCCGCTTGATGCGCGGCTACCCATGATGAAACCTACGCCTCGCCTGTGACTCGATATACGGCGGCCTGCCTTGACGCCTCGCTACGCGTCATACCGGGCCCAGCCGAACCCTTACCTTACCTTCCCTTGCTTCAGTTCATAGCCTCATCCTCTGGTATCAGCAACTATTTGCAGGTCAACAAGGATCGTGGGATGGGATTGCGCCTCGACCTTGAAAGACCCTCGAATCCATATATGGTGGAAATGTAATTTTCACCTCGCAATTCGCTGCCTCTGCTCATTTATCATCACTTTCGTTTGCAAGCTGGTTTGTCCAGCCATCCAGGTTGTGATCAGAGTTTCAGGAGGTGCCAGATTCATGCGATAACGTTGGTGGGCAAGGACTTGTAAGTAAGACCTTTCCCAGCTTCCTCTACTTAGCATTGCAGCACAATTACTGATAAAATGGCGTTGAAGTTCCCTGATTTCATGCCGCTCTCGAATGAGAGCAAGGCCGACGCCCATCGATCGCTGCATAATTTGAAGTCATTCTCCAGAATCGAACCGGAGGACCCGGACCATCCAACCCGAAGCCAACGAGCAAGCACAGTTCAGAATGAGGCAATGCCGGAGATAATCAGTTCAGCCCAGCCCAGCACTCCGAAAGAGAACAAATTTTCCAAGATGCCGCAAGATTCATTTGACAAGAGTTCGGAGGAGGATGGAAGCCATGGAGCGGTGGAGGGGGCCCCTGAAAAGCTACCCGCAGACTTTGATGAGCTTCCAATCGAGCTCGTCAGTCTGACAGATAGGTCAGAATTTCCAAGAACCTTGAGATTCGGCCGGTATTGACTTGGTTGCAGCTTCATTGACTCACTCTCCGCCAAAGTGCACCCCTCGCCTCCAAGCGTGGATAAATTATCAGGTCTATTCCAAGACTTCTACGCAGTTGCCGCTACCCATATTAATACCCATATTTCGACCTTATCATCTCGCCAGCATCGAGGGACTTCGCCGGCACCATCACTATCGTCTCTATCTTCCACAGCTAGCAAGTTCAGGGCCAAGGCAGCTTCGATTAACGTCAAGGATCGACCGAAGGCCCCTTTCGAGAAAAAGGACTCCGAGCAGATGATGTTAACTTCAGAGGAGATTGCTGACCGAAAACGTGCCCGGAAGGTACTTGAGCAGAAGCGTGTGGCATTAGAAGAAGCCGTGGAAAGGAGGGTCTGTGAGGCCGTCTATGGCAGAATATGGAGGCACAGGAGCACACAGGACGAGGCACAAGATGAAAAGTTACGGTCCAAGACAGCTGCTTTGTCAGTCGTAGGAATTGGCTTGATCGACCTAGGAATTGACGTAGGGCAAGGATCTGGCGAAAGTGCGGAAGAGAAGGAAAACGAAGTCCGGGAGTGGCTCGAGGCAGCCAGATCGGACCTGACAGCGATGAACGACGAAAAATACCCTTTTGGAAAACTTCAGCACCTCAAAGCAGCTCACAAAAGCATCGTGGATACTTTGTCACATTTCCATCCATCTTCTTCGGCGGACGAGATAATGCCGATGCTGATCTATACGTTGATCACGTCACGACCGGAGGGAATCAATGTTATCAGCAATCTATATTTCATACAAAGGTTCCGGAATGAGAGCAAGATTGACGGAGAAGCAGCGTACTGCTTGACCAATCTAGAGGCTGCCATCACCTTCCTCGAAACGGTGGATCTTGCAAGTTTAAGAGCGGACGAGGTTCCTTCTGGACCTCCCAAAGCAAGCACGCCCAGCTCAGAGAAAGCAGACCCAATGTCCCCTACTCCATCTGAACCATCTGCCCCTGAAGTAAGTAAAGAAAATGCGAGTCCAGAGATATCAAAGCCTCAGCCATCTCCGTCGGGCCTCCGTCCGAATATACAGGCTCAGAACCGAAAGATCAGCGATATGTTCCAACCCCCCGCTCAGGTATTGGGTGCTGCCGGCGACGCCGTCCTCAACACTGCCGATCAAGGGTTCAAGACGCTGGGCAACAGCCTGGGAGAAAGCTATAAATTCTTGATCAGCAAGCTCAAGGAGCGACAAGAAGATCCATCTAGTCCAGCCGCAGACCTCATCGTCCCTAAAACGCTGGATGATGCTCGAAAGCTCGTCAGCACACCCCCGCCAGAAGATGACGGTTCCATGAGCGGAGGGAGTTCACATAACAGCCCGGTCCCCTCGAGGAACCGCAGCAACTCAGGTGCGAGGTTAGACGACAAGTTTCTGAGTATGGTGGGTGGGAGGAAGATGGTCCGCGACGGCAGTACGGACAGTGTACGAAGCGCCGCTAGTAGTAATAAGAAGGTTGCCTTTGCCGAAGAGGGTGAGAAGGCCAGCCCGGCACCCACGTCCGGGAACCCTGCGATCGTGGAGTCGATGCGGAATCTGGGGAATTCCCTGAATCCAATGACTAGGATTGCCGGGATGGGATTCGCGCGTGGCTTTGGACGACCGGCGCCGCCACCGCCGCCTCCCGCAAAACCAGTACCTGATGGTGGCGTGGCTGAACTCACGACGGTAAGCTACCTCGAGGCCTCTCTGAGAATCGTGACTGACAAGATCTCAGGCCTTCCCAGATCTCGCAACAGTATTACCACCGAAGGAGGTGCCCAAGATCGCACCACCAATCAAACGGTTCATGGAGCTGAAAAATCCCGGAGAGCTCCGGATCAACGAAGTCCTGGAACTGTTGAGAGATTACAGACGCCTTGCGGGGGCATTGAAGGAATCCGGGGCGTTTTGAAGAGTTGTGCATAATAGAGAAGCCGCGTAGCACTGTAATTTGTCATTCTTATCCCGGCGTTGCGGACTTAGAGTCGTCATTACTTTTCGGTATGGGATTGCATTCGAGGCGTTGTGGGCATATATTGGGATAGTTTGGAATGATGGATTGAGCAAGAGTGAGGGGATCAAGGGGAATTGTACAGAAGAAGCATAAAGCCTAGGAATTGTATCTTCTCATTCGCCCTGCGCCGGTTATTGAAGAATTGAACCGTTTTCCAACAAGTCTTCATATTACATTCATTCGCCTTGCGCCGGTTATTGAGTAATTGAAGTCTTTTCCAACAAGTCTTCATACTACATAGGTACCTACCTATATGCGATATCAACACCTTTCCTTCCCCCTATCTCCCTTACCTAAGGTATCTATCTTCTCAAACCCCTTATTCACAACACCAAGCGAAATCCCGCAAAGTTAAAACATGATCAAACATGAAAGGAAATCAACTCGACACTAAGCCCGGCTGGCACAATTGGTTAGCGCGTGGGCCTTTTAAGCCCAAGGTTGAGAGTTCGAGCCTCTCGTCGGGCGATTGTCTTTTTTTGGCAATGACTCTGTTTTATTTTTACTTTTTTTTCTTTTTTTTTGGGTTTTGATTTTTTGGGGGGGGCGGGATGCTTTTATTGGTTTTTTTGGGGGGGTAAAGAGGGGGGGGGGAGGTTTGAAAGAGATAAGTTTCGGGAGCGAACGATAACAAATAGGAATGAATGAATGAATGAATCATTGAATGATAATACCTAGCCCAGCTATTTATGTAGCTATGATTGATTCATGAGGGTTTCTATTTTCTTTTAAAGAAAAAATCACCTTCTTTCCTTTTCACTGCCTATTTCTCTTATTATAAAAGTGCGATATGCTTCCTAAGGTGTATATAATTCCACCCCGCCTCCCTCTCTCCCTCTCCCTCTCCCTCTCCCCCTCCTCCCAATGCCGAACCACGACTGTAGCTAGTTAGATAAGTAGTAGCCATGCCATGGATATAGATGTGGCGCTCTCTCTCTCTACCTTATCCACTCCACTCCACACTAACTACCTAACTACGATGCCGCTCTCCCGTCCCACGATCGCTCGCTCGCTGGTTCGCTCCCCACATAAATCAATCAAAGGTAAAAAATGAAAATTGAAGATTGGCACATGCAGGATCTGAATTTTTTTTTTTTTCTTTTTTTTAGGGGGGGGGAGGGGATTTTTGCTTTTGAGAAAAGAAATATGGTTCGTGGATAAGGAAGGGGTTTATTAGGGGGTTGTTTTTTTTATGTATGGTAGGTTTGTAGGTAGGTAGGTGTGCTTGTGGCTTGATTGAGCAAGGAATTCGGGGCTGGAGGGAGGGTATGGATGGATGGATGTTGAGTGGGAGGGAGATGGGGGATGGGATAGGGGGAGGCTTCACCGCTTGTGTCATATATGATGTGTGATGTATGTACCTTATGTATGTATGTACAGTGTAGGTAGGTGTGTCGGCACATACATACATACATACATACATGCCCCTCTGTCTAAGTACCTACCTGACTAATGAACTGACAGAGTCCAGACATACACCTCCCCTCACCTATCTTATCTAATCACCAGCTCTCCCTACCATAGCACACCCTACACCGATCTCGATCAGTTCAGTCCAGATCGATCGATGCGATACGCCCGTAACTACGCGGCGGAGTAAAGACGGAGTTCTCAGCCTTGCCTGCGCAGAGGGGTTTAAGGTGTGTTTAAGTCCGAGCGCTGGGCGGAAGTAAGAGTCGGAGGAGGGGGAAGAAAGATGCCGAGCACTGTGTAAGGTAAGGTAGGGAGTGATGGAGAAATGAGAATGCGCGGGAGAGTTCGGGGGATGGTATGTTATGGAATGTCATGGATGGATGGATGGATGTTATTATGTTGTGAGAGAGGGTGTCTTGTGATGTATGTATGTATGTATGTGTCTCTGGTTTCCGGGTGGATGGGTTACTCCGTACTGCGGCGGAATAAGCTTCGCGAAGGATGCTGAGGATTCGCGATGCTGGGGTAAAAAGGGTAAAGGGTCAAGGGTAAAGGGTCAAGGACAAGTCTCACTCACGGATCAATGACTGCGTCTGCAACTGCAGCGTTGATGACTCGCCGGCCAACATCTCTCCCGGCTGCATTGCTCCGTGGGTGAGAGGTGAGAGGTGAGAGGTGAGAGCTGCTGAGAATTGAGACACGGCGACAATATCGACCGACCGACCGACCCGACCGACCGACTGAGGCTTGGCTCTCGCTCTCGCTCTCGCGTTCGCTTTCGCTCAGGGCTCGGCTTTGACACCGAGCTCACCGATTTACGATGTCGCGAATGATAATTAATTAATTAATGAACGGGCGGTGCACGACTAGGTACGGACGTATGCTTGATCAGTGCGGATCTTACAGGGCAGGATAGGGGGGGGTATCAGATATCTGATATCAGGGGCATGGATTATCACGATGGTGATGATGAATGGATGATGTATGTACCTGGTATGTACTGTAGGATTGGTACGGGGGTTTGCTGCCTGAATTGATTGATGAGCGACCGGACGTAATCAGGAGCCGTGCGTGTGATTGGCTACCGCGAGGTGCGTTGAGTGGCAGCCTTGTATCCGTGGGCAACGTGACGACGCGTAGGATTTGCGGGCGGTGAGGGTTTGCGCTGCGGTTGCTGCTGTGTCGGTGATCGATTGGGGCATCCTTCGCGGCCTTGGGTCAGTCAGTGCGTGATGTGTGGTGAACCATGGAACGAGTCGTTGCTAGAGAAGAGAAAAAAGAAGGGGAGAAAAAAAGGGAGGAAAAAGAGAGAAATTTTCTAGATTAAATCGAAAAAACCGTGGAAATCCGGGGAAATAGAGGAAAAAGGGAACGGGACGGAAGGCTGTGGTTCTTGATTTGTAACAGGCACGAGTTTGTCAGCCTGGTCGTCCCTGTGGAAGCGCAACTCTTCAGTGACGTTTGTCAGGATGATGATTATAAGGCATGAAGAGTAATCAAGACGCAGCGGGATGATTGGGTAATCGCAGCGCCATGCAACGTCAAGACGATGTCAAATTGTCAATGGTCGAGCATCAATCAGTAATAATCTAATCATGCTAGGAACATCACGGCGATGACTCGACGGAGTTAACCCTCGTCCATGGGAGCGCAGCGCGGGTGTCAATCACCGTCAGTAGTACCGTCAGTAATAGTCAGGCAGAACTCAACCGCAAAAGGCCCAAAAGGCCCAGATCGGATTGACACGGCCGCGCCCTTGGCTCTCTTGGCTCTCCCTCACCCGCCCTAGCCCCATCCCGGCATAGCGTCACCGCTTCTCCGGGCCCCACACGGAGTCTCGGGCTTACGATGTAATCAGCCCTGCTCGTGCTCAACCCATCCAGGTCCACCAGTCCATGTGAGAATCAGCTGCAGACGGCCGCGCCCAAGAGTACAAAGAGCTTCCCGCTGCCACATCCGCTCGCCGTCTGCCTCTGCTCTGCTCACCACTCCGACTGACAAAAAACATCCTCAACCTCAACCTCACATCATCAGCTTCGAACACCTCCCATCATCCCTTTCCTAATCCATCTCTAGTGCTCAGGCACCGTCCATCCCCCCCAATCCCGACACGGCGAAACCCTTGCCTCCTCGCCTGTCCGCTCTATCGGTACTGGCGTCCGTCCACCGGTCCTCGGCCTCGTTCTACCTAAAAAGTATTCAGCCGCCTTGACTCATCGCGACCAAGACTTTCTATAATATAAGATCCTATTGCGCCATACAATCATGTCGTCCCAAGATACATCCCAAGATTCACAACTCTCCACTCAATCCTCCCCTTCCACATCCACATCCACATCGCCATTGCGCAGAACAATGTCCGTCACCCAGACCTACTACCTCGCCCACACGGCGCGAGGCAAGCTATCCACCGAGGCCTCCCGTCCAGATCACAACCTCCGTCTCCTCGTCGGCCATGCCAACCTGCTCGATTCCTTAATGCTCGACCTTGCCGAAGCCGAGCAGGAACAGGAAATCTGGTTCAACCAATCCGTTAAGAAAGCCACCCGCACCGAAGAGCCCAGGCACATCCAATGGGCGGATTCCGTAGTCGAGGATCCTGCCGACGATTGGCAAGCTGAGGATGCCGATTCGTCAGACTCCGACAGCGACTACGATTCGGATGAGGACGTCGAGATGGAGGCCGACATGGTCCCTTTACAGCGCGTCCCATCCGCCAGCATCATCACATCATACACCGAGGTCGAGGAGGTCTACGACGAAGATGAGGAGGAGGACCTCGAAGGCCTCGCATTACACCTCACACAATCACATTCCACATCATCACCACCACCCGAATTAGATCACGACTCGGACGAGTCATCAGAAGACGAATCCATGCCTCCCTCTCCCTCCGCAGACCCTTTACCCTCGTTCTCAGAGAAGCAACGACAACAAATCGCAACGACCGGCTACTACTCGAATCCCCAACCCTCATCCTCGATACCCCCGTCCGAGAAGCAAGCCTTCTTCGCTGAAGGTCTCTACTTGCCTCCGCGGACAGGGCCGGGCTTAATCAGCACCATCAGCGTGTTCTAAGCCTTCTTCGATTCGAGACCTGCACGCGTATACCGAAGCCTCGCGCTTCTGCGTCCGACATGTCTCCGGGTTATAAGGCGGGGGACGCGTATACTGAAGCCGCGACAGCTTCTGCGCCCCCGGTCTTTTGTCAGTTTTCGAGTTACAGCACTTCAGTTCAGCGATTTGAGCGATTCTCAGCGGGCATTAGGGTCGGCGTTTAAAAGATACACTTTTTTATTATATCATATATCATTTCATTGGTGGCTTCGGGAACAGGATTCACAGTACACCCACATATGCTCATACATGGCGAAGGAAGGATATCACGGAGGGAATATCAATATCAACCACGCTACTCATGCGGAGCATTGGAGTTACGGATGGTGGATTTATTACTCTCTTAATGCGGGATGGAGCATCATGTGTCTACTTGGGATATTATTTGCTAGGGTATAGAAAACCAATGCAAAGCAGCTTTTTAAAACTTGAGTTTACATGCGCATGATGTTTGTTTCGTTTGTCGTGAGCGGTGACTTGACTCATTCCTTACTTATTTATCGACTGTAACCAACTCCACACTTCGCATCCCCCAGCTCATCTCATTTCTTTTTCTCTATCCAATAAATTCCATCCCATCCCATCCCATCCCATCCCAATAAATCTCTCCATAATAATAATCAAATCTCCCACCCGCTCTAGTTTTTTTCCCCCCCTTCACATCAATATTTTTCTTTTCCTTGTCCATTTTCCCCCCCAAAATTTTCAAACCAAAATCCTCGGACCCCGGCATCCCGGCAGAACAAGCCTCGGTTCCGAAGCTTTTTGCGCGCGCCCCACCCCACCGACCTAAGGTACCGACCTGTTCGTCGGGACTCGGGAGCGAAGCGCGGCGCCGGCGCGGAAAAAGAAAGAACGTAGAGAAAAAAGAGAAAAAAAAAATGAATTCGGTGAATGCGGCGCTAGATTAGAGTAGATTCGGGGTTTGGGTTGGGTTTGGGTTGGGGAGGCTAGATGTTTATTTATTGAAAAAAAGGTAAGAAAATTTTCTGCTATTGTTTTTTGGGACGATTATTTATTATTATTTTGCGAGGAAATAATATTGAGAAAATAATTATAGATTGATAGATCAAATCTCCAATATCCATACCAGTACCTAGTCCGCGATGCCCGAGGGGGATAGATCTAGAAGATACTACTGTGCTAGGTATGCTGTGCTGTGCTGGGTTGGGTTGGGTCGGGCTGGAGTGGCGATAGAAGAAGAATGTGCTTAGTACCAGGCTGAACTTCGGTAAGGTAGGTAGGTAGCTGTGGAGGAGAAGAGACGGCGTTGTGTCGGGATCTACGGATAGTTTGGTTTGGTATGCATGCATGGATAGTCTTGTAAGTTGTATGGATGTACCTAGGTAGGTAGGTAGCGGATATACCTCACATATTAAAATCGAGGGATACGGTGCATGCAATTACATGCAATTTCATAGGTAAAGTAAGGTAGATACCTAACAGATGCGCGATAGGGACATGTAAGGTTACACCTAAGTAAGGAATCCCTCTTGGGGTGTGTTTTGCCCTCGATAAATAAACAACGGTGGATTCTTTCTTTCTTGTATAGACCTACCTACCCACGTACATCTATCTTATACTGGAAAATGGACCGATGTTTTGCCGAAAAACCCCTGTAAAAACAAGGGTATTCTCTTAATTCTCATTGGTCCGCGTCCCGGTTCGCTGCCTCAGGCCCCTACACGCGCTGTACGCGCTCTCTTACCTACCTCCCTACCTACCTACCTATATATTTTTACGTGTCTATATCCCCCCTTCTACCTGAACAAGGAACTGGCACTCGAACTAGCACTCGAACTAGCACTCGAACTGGCACTCGAACTGGCACTCGAACTGGCACTCGAACTGGCACTCGAACTGGCACTCGAACTGGCACTCGAACTAGCATACTACAGGTGCTACTACAAGTAGCCCTACCGGTAAGTAGCCCTACAGGTAAGTGGCTTTATAGGTAGCTCGACAGGTAGTTCTACAGGCCCTTAACAGGTTAGTAGTTTAAGGATAAGGGGTTACACTAATAGGCATATAGTAGCGTTTTTAAGTCTATATAACGGCACAAAATCAGAGCGTTTTTGATGTATATAACGGCGTCAAATCTAAGTGTTGTTAAGGTTATATAACAGCGTTAGATTAGAGCGTTTTCGAGGCATATAACAGCGTCAAATCAGAGCGTTTTCGACGAATATAACGGCGTCAAATCTAACTTATCTAAGTGTTGTCAGGGTTATATAACAGCGTTAAATCAGAGCGTTTTCGAGGCATATAACGGCGTCGAATTAGAGCGTTTTTAAGGCATATAACGGCGTCGAATCCGAGTTTTGTCGAGGCTATATAACAGGCTGAATTCGAGCGTTTTTAAGGCTATATAACGGGTTGAGTTTAGAGCATTTTTACTAGCATATAACGGCGTTAAATCAGAGCGTTTTTAAGGCTATATAACAGGTCGAAACTAGCGTACATAATCAAACAGCCTACAGTTTCTGTCACAATAGTAAAATCAGTATAACCTCAAAAGACTTGGCTTCTGCCCCTGTGACTAGGTAAGCATTGTATTTCCGCGAGCGAAGCGAGCTATTGCATCCTAGTCGTTATGTACTATCATATGTACTGTCCAAGCCCGACCTTCAAAATTCTAAAATCCCGTGCCGATGAAGGATCAATCGATGGAGAATAATGGGGAGGTCAGGTGTACTATGCGGGGTTGAAGGAATAATATCGAAGGAATGCATCATACGGTATATGTTATGTTATGTGGGGGATTTAGTAAAAGGAGACTTGGGATTGGATTAGGTTGGGTGGAGTGCGGATAAGCAATAGATAGATGGAGCGATGGATGGATGGATGGATGGATGGATGGGGAGGATGAAGGATGAAGGAAGAGTGTGTGGAGATTGTGGGGTAGG